AAGACTTGGCGTGTGCGAATTTTTCAATCTCAATAAAGATCTAATGGATTAATCATAATTTCATCATTCGTCAAATCGTTTCGAGAAATGTGAAAAGGAAGCGATTAGGAGGAGCCAATTCCTTCGAAGAAATCGTTCCAAAAACAATTGCGAGCGTGTGACGGCACTGCCGGAAATCAAAACGAGCGGTAAGGCTGATTGCGCGACAGACTCGATCAAGATTGTCCTCATCCGCGCATTAATCAGCGTTGCGAACTACAACGACGTCTTCGGAGAGAAAAAGAGAGAGAGAGGAGGGTGGGAAAGAGGGAGGGAAGGACAGCGACGTGACACGGCCGTGGCGCGAGTTCATGTGCGCGATGCAGAAAAATTCGAGACCGCCGAGAGATCCTATTCTTGGCTCGCGAGTGTCCACCACCATTCACGAGCGGGGGCCTTCGCCCCGTCAATGAACAAGCAACCGGTCCTCCTTCTCTTCCGGGCTCTCTTCTTCATCACTCCGTTCCTCCCGCTTGCCCTCCCTCTGTGTCTGTCCGTCTGTCTGTTTCTCGCTCCCTTCCGGTTACCGCGTTTTTCAGTTTCTTACTCGCTTTCCTCCTCTCTCGCACTCGGGCAGAAAGAGAGAACGATTTTATTAATTTATGACAAGACAATCCTGTATGGTTTCCTCGTCGAGATTTACGTAACTCATCCAGGAGGCGCGAGACGAACGCAGAAAAAAAAAAAGAACTCGGCAATGGGCAAATATGACTCTCTCGTAATCCAAGAGATGTTCCGCGAAGATCGAACGGTTCTCGAGTGGCGGGTATAAAAAAATCAGGTGCGTCTCTCTTTCTCTTGAATGATCGCGCGATGACGCGGTCGCGATTTTTAGACGGCGACACGAGATGTGACCTCGAGACAGGGCCTATTTTGACACGCCGGTAACATCCCGATTACTCGAGCAGGTGCGAATGGGAAGAGACGGTCCGACAGACTCGGACGGCTCGCCGCCGTCCGTCCTCGGCAATAAAACGTCTCGTCGCTAAAAAAGATTCGCGCGACAAAGGATGTACCTAGCAAGTGAGAGGCGCGGGAATTATTAAGACGAGTCTAATTTCTTCAAGGCGCGAATGCTCTACAATGCGCGCAGGAGGATCAAACAGTGGTTTTTTTGTTTAGTCAACGCGAAAAGATGAAGGCGTCCTGTGCGAATAGACAGATTAATAGATGAATAGTTGGATAATTGATAACATCGTAACATCGTCATTAGCAACGAAGAGAAATAAATAACGCGCCACAAAATTGTACGCGATTTTACGGTACGGAAGATATATGGCGTTAAAAATTATTATAGATTCAACGATAAAAATGATTGCGACACGAAATTTATACGAAGAACATAAATTCCGTAGACAATTCCGAGGACAACCTTCCGTGCAAAAATGACTGACAGAAAATAATGTTATGTTGAATTATTACTATCCTATTATATTTAATAAAGCTAAAACGGCTTTTTGAGGCTGTGAATAGAGGCATCTTTAGAACTATCAGTATCCGCAAGGAAAGTACAAGAAAAAATGTATACGTGTGAGTGGAATGAATAGCACATGACCCGATGAACAATTTATAAAAAAAGAAGTCAGAACAGAAATTAACACAACTTTAAGGACGATTGAATAACGGATATCCTCGGATATCGCATTCGACAAAGTGTCAAGATGATTAAATGATCGAATTCTTCGACAACGTCAGCCCGATAGCCCGACATGATTAATGGTTTCAACGTGTACTTTGCGCGCTTTTCGATATTATAATTATTAAACTGATCGACCACCTATACTTTTTATAACTTTTTTGATGTATCGTATTGACAAATCTTATCGTCTTGACAAATTCTGATCGTCCATCGATACGCAACATACGTTATTTCATTACACGCAACGCTGGTAACTTTTTCCTATCAAATTGATTATAAGAAAAAGTATTTTATTTATCTTAAATTTCAAAGTATATATTTTAATTTCAATTATCTATTATATCTGCAAAATTTTTTAAATTTTCAATATATTTGAAAGTCATAATATCAATTAATTCATTCTGAATGCAATAACTTTCATTAACTATACACTTAGAAAATTGAAAGACCACGCTGCACATTAGAGATTTCAAGAAACTTAATTAAATAGCGCGATGTTTAAAAAAAATATTCAAAACGCATGAAGATTCAAGAGCGACACGTTAACAAACTGTCGAGTTTCGATGGAATTTGAAATAGCCACGTGCGAGACACTGTTTTATGCTTCGTCACACGTTTTCTTAGCCAACGCCCGCCCCTCGGAATGCCTGAATCGAGCTCGGCAGGAAATGCCCGCGCGATGGACATCGAGTGGTCTCTCTTGTCCCACCTAAGTCAACAGGTGGACTCGACTCGTATTTTACAATCGCGGGGTTACGAGCGTGTCGCACACGCAGATGAACATTTCCCGCCAACAATTTTCTTGTTGTCTCCTTCGCAAATGTGCGGGTTGTTACTAAGAAAATCCCGCGGAGATATCGAAATGCGGAAACTCGACTAACGAGTAACAGCTACCGTTGAAACCTTCATGTACGAGTACGATGTGGCTCGCTCGTGCCACGTCATGAAAAGAAAGATTCCCGCGTCAACGATAACTCACGGCCCGCCTCTCGTCCGAGCGTTATTAAGCGCGTAATAATAATAATTGTAACCGCGCGAATCATTGTTTAATAACGCGTGTAAGAGGGATCAGATACCGTAATAGCGCGGCGGATTAAAGGGTCGGCTAAATGTTCGAAATGAGAATAAAAGTGCTCGTTAAATTAAAAGCAGCCATCCACATTGTACAATTTATTATTAACCGCAAGCGTTCGGATGATTATACTGCGTTTATGGAACGGCGCGTGAAGATTGTATGCTCTTGGTAATACGACAACAATTAATTTGCAAAGTACAGCAATCGAAGTTACTTCGGCGCGACGCAAAAATGTATTTTCATAGTTGGAATTCATGCGTGTACTTCGAGAAGTGCTTCAACTAATTCATCAATTCAGTACTAATTATTCCACACGACGAAAGACGATAAATTGTCTGTTCTTTTACTGGAGATATGTAAAAACATGCTCGCAATATGTATGCACGTAACGTTATTTGAGAGCTCTAGCTCGAAGAAGGCCATTTTGTTCCCGAGAATATTGACAGAGAACTCGTGTTGAGACTCGCGCGCGGCAAACTTTACACGATTTTGCGAACTTGCACGTTTCGCATTGCACAACTTATGTTGCCAGACTTATTACGTCCTAGGCTAACTCCGAGAATATCCTTTGCGAGTACTCGCGAAGCCGATAAAAACCACGCATAAATTAAAGCAAGTATTAATATTCCACTGTTCGGTATAATTTGTTGAAATTCAAAACGTTCGACATTTGCGTAACTCAGAATAACATATTTTCCCAAAAATTATATAGTTTCAAAAACATATAAATAATAATAACTTATAATTAAAACAATTGTACATTTTTATAAGGCACATCCAGAATATCAAGAGTATCATAAAATCGTTGATAATAGATCAGTCAAAAATATAGTTGAAATATTCAGTCAAAAATACAGTTGAAATATTCATAAAAGAAGTCACAGAGGCGAAAACGCGCTCGGTGAAAATTTTTTCGCAAGACAAATCTCTTTGGATAGATCGTAGTCGCAAAGTGCGAATCCGACCGTGATCTCTCCTCGACGATCGCAGCGCACGGATTCTCCCGGTGACGTGGATATTCATAAACTACCGTAGCTCGTGTGGGAGATGTTACGCGACGACGGGAAATCTTGCGCGCGATTTCGAGGAGCAACGTAATTAGCAATAAAACTTCCGCGCGCAAGAAGTACGCACTTCCTAGTACGTAGCTCGCGCGCTCGCTCGTCAAGAGTTTTTTTCGCACACACGGAGCTGACCCGGTCAAATGACCTTAGGAGGAGAAACCTTACGATCGATATACTCACATATTTATTGCTGAACTTTTAAGAAATTTATTGTCAAGCGTTTTCGACGTTCTCGCGTCATTCTTCGCGAAGCGTTGCGTCGCGGCGCGAAACTATCGGCGGAAAACATGTTTTGCGTAGTATATCAAGATGGACAAATTTATTACTAGATAAATAACATTGAAAGTACGATGATACGCGTCTAAGCGCGCATCATGTATAATATTATAACGCGCGTGTTCGTAACAACGTGGTGAAGAATATGAAAGACGCGCAAGACGAAAGTAATCGAATACCATCTCGAGTTCAGAAACGGTGTACCCGCACGAGATCGAGGATCAATAAGCGTGGAAGGATTTAATGAACGGCGATCAAGGCGTCATATTCAAGTATACAATATTCTTTATTTCACTTCGCATCCTCAACTCGGACACTCCAACGGTGCCCGCGCTGATGCACGAATATTAGCGCACCATTGCAGCTACTGCAATCTCTTGTGTAGCTCTCTCTTTTTTTGTACTTGAGCGCAACTGCTATCTCACCAGAAACGATAGGCACGATCGGAGCGGGAATAACTCTCCACAACTTCTGCTTGCATGGTCCCTGTTTGTCCAAAAAGATTCTCGAAAAATATAAGTTACGCTAAGAGTACTTAGAATTCGCGGAATCACAATTTATCTGACGCCCGTGTCATCTCCGAGTTATCACATCGAACTCGAACTGACATCTTGACGAAGTGAACGCGTGCACAAATTCGGTCCGATCGAACGGATCTCAAACCTCGAACACTACCGATTTGTTAACGCAGTAAGACACGCGAAACACTCACTGGCCATCGCCGAGTGTGTCGCTATATACATATATACTAGCGTATATATATGTATACATACATACATATATATAAAGCTATATATATACATATAGACAGACTGTACAAAAATTCGATAAATTTACACAAATAAAATGTATAGATTACATGATAAATAACGAAAATGTACTAAATAAATTATGCCATCATTTTCATTATTTCATTTTCACAATGCAATATATATATATATAAATAATTTAAATATATATATACATATTCAATGTATATGCAATGATACATCTAATTTGTGTAGATTCGCTGAATTTTTTTACAGCGTAGATAGCGAACGATTATATATCATTTAATATTAAACTATCACCGGTAAGTTTTACCAGCGCACTGTTAAAGGCACTGCTTATAAGGCACAATAGTTCGTCGTGCGTTTTCCGGACGAAAAAGGACGCGTCGCGAGTCGATCCTCGGTCATTTCATCAGCGTACACCTGCCCGGGCTAGGACCGGGCAAAAGGGACTGTGTGTCGGCTGATACAGAGCGGCTTGAGCAATTTTCATCGATGCCGATGAATCGGCATGCCGATCACCGATCGTAAATGCGTTTATGCCGGCAGGCTGCGCGCGGCACTTCTTCCTCTCCTTCAGCGTCGACCGCGCTCTTCCCCCTCCCTCCCGTTTTTCCCTCGTGTTGTTCCAACGTAATCGTATTCGGCTACTCCTCTTTCCCCCGTGGGTCATCTTCTCGTTTCTTAAGCCAAGAACACCTTTGACACTTGGCCGTGCTTCTCGCTCGCCGCGTTATTACGATATAACTGTACCTTCTCTCACTCCCTCTGCATCTCGTACGATTCGCGCATTCTCCATTCTTCTTCCTCTTCGCTATTTTCTCACCCATCCATATCTTCTTCTATTTACTTTTTTTTTCGCAGGAGCTTCGATGGTATACTCTTCGATAAACCACTATCGCTCTGTGACATTGCGTCATCATTTATCAGGTCATTCTCACGAATCCTGAACGTCGCTAACAACGATCTTTCCGATCGAATTCCTATTGAGCACCTATTGAGTATCATCCGGTATCGGAGGTCATGTCTTCCGGGTGAGATCCAGGGGCGGCCCGGTGTCTTGCAAAAGCTCGTTGTCCTCGCTGTCGCTCGACCTCTCTTCCTCCTCCTCCATGCTACCAGCGTCCGCCTCCTGTCCGTCCGTCTGCGTGTCCTTCATGCTAAGATCCATCGGTTCCTCCTGTTCAGGCCCGAGGGATCGAAGGAAGGCCAGACTTTTGTCGTACGCGGCCTCCACCGATCCTCCTCTCGAGCGTCGGTTGCGCTCGGCGATCTCGCCGTCGACCTCGCGACATTCCCGACTTTCCTCGCTCTTCTTCGTCGGCGACGGGGTCGAGCGCGGGCTTACGCTCTCGCTGGACGAACTCGACAAGCTGGCCACCATTTGCGGCGGGCCGACTTGATTCACGTAAGGTACGATGAAGCGTTGCTGGAACGGGAAGAACGGTGAATTCAACAGTTGCATGTGCGTGAGCGCCGGATGAAACAACGGCGGCCCTCGCCACATCGGAAATCTCGAAACCTCTGGCCTGAGAAGTTCGTGCGGACTCCTTGGAAGATCACTAGACCTCAGAATCGCGTCTTGGCTGGTCCTCGGCGGAATCTCGGGCGACCGAAGCTGCATCGAGATGTCCGACGGTCTGGGCGTGCTGTCTTCCCGCTTGGGCAATCGATCCGGATGATGATGATGATGCAGGGGATGATGGTAACTGTTCGCCGTGGTGGTTGCCGTGGTGATACCGGCGATGCTGCTGGCGCTGGTGTTACTGGCGTTCTCTGTGTTGTTGTTATTATTGTTGTTGTTGTTCGCGGCGTCCAACGAGCCGAAGGCCTTCTCGTAGGCGGACTTGGGATCTTTGATCAGACGATTTTGCGCTTGATGCGACTGCTCCTGCAGCAGGCAGTGTATCTTGAACCAATTGGAGCGCCGGCCGTAGCGCGAACCGGACTTGGACATGCCCACCATCAGGCACTTCCGCAAGCGACACGCTTTGCACGCGGTGCGGTTTTTTTTGTTGATCACGCAGACGCCGCCATTCTTGCATTCGGAGATGCTGCCCAGATTGTTGTAAGTGCGCCCGAAGAAGGACTGTGTAACAGAAAGCGAAAGAGACGCGCATTGGTCAGTGGCGGTCGATTAACGATTTGCACTTTCGCTCTATTAGAGATCAGACGCGCGGAGAAAAGCTATCTGTTAGTAAAGCTAAATTCAGCTGTTGAAAGTCCGTCAAGATGTAGAAGCGAGAGTGCTGGAAAGACATTAAATTTTCAAACAACGATACAAGCTGTTCCGACGCGTGGCAATTTTTAATTTAACGCTGAATTACCAATGACTAATTTTAGCATAGGGATATCCTTGTCTCGTTGATGCGAGAGCCAGATTTTACAAAGGGCTATTGCTCTGTGTTCTCGGCGCGATTCTACACGATTTGCGTAATTTCAGGCGTAAGTATCACACGTCGCGAGAAACGTAATGATCGCGGGTCGTTCCTTTCTTCATCTTCCTTTTTTTTCCATTTTGTTGTCAGAGAATAACGATACGGATGAATAGCCGTGGAAGAATAGCGGTGCGAAGATACTGACCTTGCAGCCTTCGCACGTGAAGGCCCCGAAGTGAAAACCCGCGGCCGGCTCTCCGCAAACCCTGCAGAGCTGATTCATCTGCAACAAAAAGATGCGACATGTGGTTACGGCTCGGGACCCGTGGACGGTCAGAATGTGCCCGACGATCGCGCCTGATCTCCGTACAATGTCTGCCAATCACGGAAGGGTTTCTCGATCCCGGTCTAACGCACGCTCGCGAAACGCGAGATCGGAACAACGAAGAGTACTATGATAGAATATAATAGTGATATGTGTTGAATTCTGTCCCATTTGGATACAAAGCGCTATTATGAAATCATAATCGAAGAAATATCAAAGTTATTTTTAATATATTAATTCAACTTTTGATCAAATGTGAACGATTAATTGTAAGATGCATTGTGTATTCTCTTCATTAACTATGCTTAAAGAGCTGTATTAATTCATTTGAAATTTATTAATTACTGATGATAATTTTTTTCAATACCGATTAAAGAATCACAAGATTTATCAATGACTAGCCTAAACAAATCTTATAACTTATGTTTATTATATTAACTATCTTATAAAGTAGTGTTTGAAATGTAATATCACGTATTCTGCAAAATAAATTGCAAAAGTCTTAAGTATTATAATTATTCGACAAAATTTTTGAAAATCTTGATCAATTTCATGAGTATATCACGCTCAAAATTGGAACAAAAAATCATATTTCTTTCACTACACAAACACCCTAGTTCTTGCATTACTAACTGTAAATATTAAATTGCCAATAACGTGTTTAAAAAAAATTGGGTTTCCCTGAATTTTTTAAAATCTTAATTAATTGCAATCTAAGATCACCCAGGAATTTTGAAAATCTCTGCATTCAATATCGCGTGAAAATCCTCGACTACAATCTGTCGTCGAATTGTGCGATTACGGCCGATCCGCGCGCGTATTGCGGTCGCCAATCAACGCGCGCATCTGTTCCGTGTAGAGGATCCTCGACGGTGACGTCGTGCGGGAGAAAAAAGGACCCTTTCTTGCCGCGAAGATCGGCGGGAAGCGCGCGCGGGGGTTTTGCTTCAAGAGAGAGAGACCGCGTTCCTATTAAAACCTAGTTAGCCAGTCATTACCGGACTGCACGGCTCCTCCGCGGCTTGGATGCGCGGGTCGTTGCGAGAAAGGCGCAGAGAGGAGAGGACGTGCGCGGCGTGTGTAGCGTGAGCGTGCGGATTGTGCGCGGGCAAAGAGCGAGGATGTGACTCGCGCGAGCCCGATTCCCACACGAAAAGGGTGAACTAAGGTAACGGCCGTTCGAACGGCCGTCGCTCTTTCGTAACGCTGCGGGAAATTGATCGCCTGTGTTACGAGCGGGAATTATCGGAGGTAAATTATCAACGCGCTCGTGTGATCCGAGCTCGAATTCTTTCTCGTCCATTAACGAGCGTCGCATGATCAGGCGGGAGACTAGTCATGGCTTTACAAATGACAATTTTTTATACGCGTTTGTTTCAGAATTTATACTTTACGATGCTTTGCCAGGTTTTATTTCGAGATACGTATAACGCAGAATAACGCGATTCGTAAATTGATGCATCAGATAAAAAAATTTAAGTATATTACTGTATGTGAAATAGATCTGTTTACAAAATAGTTGGGTGAACAAATGTTTATCGTGAGATTTCACGCAACAATTTAAGTTGCGAAATTTCGACATAAAAACGCCAAAGTATTACTACAATATCGGTGGAATAAACACACGCCATGCAATATCGCGAATAAAAAAACGAACGTTCACTCTTTTTTTACGCATTCTACAAGATAAACTAATTAGATATAGCCTTTATAAATATTCCCGCGACAAAGGAATTTCTGCCGATGGTCGCGAACGTTAGAACGCATACCCGCGGTGACGTGCAAATATTCGAAAACGACTTTCGATCTCATTAACCTGGGAACGTATGCGCGGTGCGAGCTGATGACTTCTCGCGGAAATGACGGCGAGGGGCAGCGACGCGCGGGCCGAGGTAGGAGGCAAAAAAGGTTAAACGTCCAACAGATGACGCGGCTATGTCACCTCGATTCTAATCCCCGCGGCCACAGACCGCCGCACATCGACGGGACTAAATAACACGCTGCCCCCCTGGTCGTGGCATTTCTTCTCGCGTTTACGGATAATCTACATCGCTACACCGGTCTGAATACTTTCTATCGCCCACCCACGTCCCACACGTGAGAATCATTTCATTAAGCGCCGCCACAAGCGACGTTTGGTAAAGAGCAGAGGTAGCGACGTAATATACGTATTTTTACAAGAACAAGTGATACGTGCTTCCGCTTTCTTTCGAGGCTCCATCGATTTCCTCCTTCCAAGTCTCCGTGCAATTTAGCGAGAATAATTTAGCATAAATACTAATCAATCACCGAGCGGCCGAGCGACCGAGTAAATTCACATGACTTCTACATGTTTCCAACCCGATTAATTTGCGAGACACTGCAATTTAATTGAATCGCGAGACTCGTGATTAAACACTAAATGTCACAGAAAGACCATATTTGAGAAAAAGAAAAATCACAGTAAATGCCATGTGACATGCAGATCTCTCTCGATTTACAACAATAATACTAAGTATTCATAATAAATGTTTTTTTTTTTTACTGTATTCCTAATAATTCAATATAGAAAACGCAAAAACAACTCCCGACGAAAATGCAGCCTTTTATCAAGATTAATAGATGTAAAAAATGTGTGTGAAAAAACTAAGATACTTCCGTCTTATTTTTGACAGGACAGAATGTGAAACGCGCATCTGCAGGAGCTAACGACTGAACGGAGAAACAGAGAATGAGACTCACCACGTCGGTGTTGGCGGCTGCCGAGGTGATCGTCGACGTAGGCGTCCACCACCCTGGGGTGACGGATGTCGTGTTGATACCAACACCCGTCGCAACCGAGATGGATCCACTCCCTACCAATCCTTCGAGGCCTGATAAATCACCCACATCCATTCGACGCGCTTTAATCCCTCGGTGTCAATCGTCTTGGCCTGTAACCCGACCTGCCCTCTTTTTCTCTGACGTGACAAATCAACATTTTGCCTGCTTTTTCCGTGTCGTCGCGCTTGTCACTGAAAATCTGCAGTTTTCACGCACAACCTGCAGTTTTCAATCTAAAATAGATAAAACAAAACATAGTTTTAAAAAAATCAATGTTCGATATCGCTTATTAATGCTTATTTTAATTATTTTATCTGATCAAGAAATTTCGAGTATTTGTTGAATCGCTGTTGTGTGCGTCATATGCACACAATTATATCTTACTTAAGTTCAACGATTCATTCACTAACATTGTTTAAGACAAGACATTTGTGTCCAGCACAAATGCCGTTTGCCGGCAACAGAATGTACGCTAACGATTATCTCCCACTATTAAAGCGACATTTTTACGGCGAATAAATGCACGAGGCGGCGTATTGGCGTGGCGCACAATAATTATTTCAGAATACGAGCGGCGGGTCGCAGGCGCGAAAACGAGAGAGCGCAGTTCCTCCGAAATCGCGGATCGGCGAATGTCCTCCCCGTAGGCCCCCCGGGTTCGTATCGCTCGAGATAACATGTCGTGTTTACAACGATGTAACGCCATTACCATGTTAACGCAGACCGCCCTGCGAGGGACGCATAAATAAGAGAGCTAATTACAGAGGCTGCCACGTATTAATTTTCGTCTGGTTGCGCCACATGGGAACTCACAGCCGTGCGTATAAAAGCGCGCCCTTCTGATTACCGAGATTTAATTTCAATTTGTTGAGAAGAAACCCGCTGTACAACTCGGGCTGTAGAACGGCGGGCGCGTCGTAAATACACCGAGGAAACGAACATTCGTCTGTTATAAAATAATTCGGCAAGTAAATCTCCGTTCAAGTGCTCGTAAAGAATGATCGCGATAGACGCTCGGGATAACGATCGGTAGCCTCTGGAGAATTCGTCCAGTTTCGAGATGCGATTTGAAAGTAAATGTTAATTGAGGACACCGAGGTTTTCTCAGTCAATCGCAAAGCCACGATTAAGAACGCAGTAATTGGCGCCGCCGCGAGTTAATCTATCACGCAGTGTTATTGGCGTGAACACTTGCAACACGATCGCGTTATACGTCGCGAATCTATAGCAGTAAAGATTATATGTGAGATTTCAACTATTCATGAATTATAATTGAAGCACGTGATTGCGTTAAATGCCATAAATTTATAGCGCCGCGATTGTGTTCCGTTTGAGCTGTAATGTATTACAATGTTGCGGGATTGCGGCAGCTTGGAAAATGTGAATCTTAATACGAGCAACGCTCGAACAACGCGTCGACAGAATAGTTTATGCCTACACAACGTAACCAATAATCTTCCGTTCTACAGAAAGAAAAATCCTTGTTTACATAATCCATCATTATAGTTTGTAACGTGACATTATATCCCGCCTGATCTCTCTGATAATAATTGTTATTCGATATCGAAACGACGTGTGTGCGACTTCTATTCGCGCGGCAATCGAGATATCGTCGGTAATACGACGAGCACCCTCGCGAGCGTGCGACCGCGTTTCTCTTGCGTTAAAATCGACGTAATCAGCCGCCTTCGCAACAAAGGAGAGGCATACCGCGGCGACGCTGCGACCGTCGATAAATTTTATTATCCGCGCTGTCTCTCTTCGTCGACTAATGACAAATTAATTAAGACTCGTATATGCCTGCGGAAGACCGGTTCCGTTGAATACATCGTCGCCTCGCCGCTCCGGCTCCGATAAATCCTTGTTTTCACGGATTAACGCGCGCGCACGCTAAGCCAGCGGTAGCGCAATTGTAACGCGATGATAAACAAGCGTTCCCGAGTTACGGCAAGAACGACGATGGCGACTGGCAGTCGATGTCATCATGGATTTTCCTATTTGCGTTTTCGAGTTGCGCGAACGAGCGCGTCTTCATTAGTCGAAGGACACCGCACACACATTCTCGCTCGCGCTTTAAAAAACCATTATTATCGCACTGTTATCGTCGATATTTCAAATGTTATTGAGTAATATACAGATTTTATGTCATGGCATTGATCACGACGCATCCTCGGTCCTTAAAAAATTGCCGGAAAAAACAATTGTCGCTCTTCGTAAGCTTTTCGCGTGTTTGCCAGTAAATAGCTGCGTGTGAACGAACACGTGAATAATTTTATTGCGATCCGCACGGATCGTAATATCGATTGTGAATTTAATTTGCAAAAATAATTAGGGTATTAAGGCGCAATTAGCAATGCGGTCGCGAGAGATAATGGTACCGCGCGCGATCGATATTCATAAATTCATCGATAAACCGGCGCAATCGCAATTTATCCGCCGAGACAACGAGGCGGCGAGGTTTGACATTTCGCGCTTATGTTTCGATTACATCGCATTAAATCGTTAACCGCGTCCTGTCGCGGACCAAAGTTTGCTCCATCGAAACTAAAAGTACTGAATTAATCATTACACCGTCTGAAATCCCCGATGCGAAATGTAAGAACAAACTTTCCATGTTCCGAAATATTCCGCTATTCCGATTGCCCGTGACATCCAATAATCCGTGAAAGTTCGAGCGGCGATTTATTGATATTGACGCGAGACACGCGAAATCATTTCGCGATAACATGTGATCGATTTCTAATAGACTCCCATAATGATATCGCCGCTAATTCACCGTTTCTCCCATCGATCCCTCTCGCTTCGCGAGAAAGCGACCGCCACTCCTATCCCACTATTAATAATTCGATTGTCTGAGAATTTTTTTTTTCACCTGACGAGCGCCGCGATCGCGATCGGCGGCCGGTTGCCTGTGCTCGTCTCCGCAATAATAATGATTGAAAGGTGAAACACACTCGCGTCAAAAGCCCGTATATATACGCGTCGTTCCTCTCCTTTTTTTTCACTTGGTTTTTTTTTTCCTTTTACTGGCCGAACATCTCGATCGCTGCCAAGCCGTGGCAGCCAATGAGTGACGAACGGATTGCAGCTTTAATGAACCGGTTGTGAGCGGCACGTCACACAGATATCACTGTACCGGCTGCAGACAGTCGAAATTGTTGCGGCTTCTTCCCTCCCCTCTCCACACTACGGCGTGACAAATTAATCGTAACCGCCGCGAGGCCCGAATCGATTTTTTGTGTAACGGCACCGGTCGCTGCTCTGCCGAACTCTTCGCGATCGCGCGCGTTATTAATCCCGCGCGCTGGGATCAAATTGATCGATTTCCATACGCGAATTTGCGGTCAAGTACAGCACGCCTTACACTGTAGTTATAAAGTCTTAAATCCTTAATTATAAACCTCTCATAGCGCACATGTTCGTTTGAAGAGTTTCGAGTTGCGAGTGTCAATAGCGATGAACCGAATTACTTTTGATTTCGAAGATTTGACCGTTATTACACAGATGTAACTCGACTTCAATACGGAGATTAATTGACCATCGAGGCAACAGACATCTCAGATAAACAGAATAACAAAGATTGTGAGTCACACAAGCAATATTGTTAGATTATTTGTTGAAACGATCCGAATAGAGATCGTCCCATCTGGCGCTGCTCGAAACTCACTATGAGAACGTAACATCACGATTCTCAACTACTACTCGATAAATGTGAGAAAAGCGAGAGACACGGTGTTCACATCATACCAGAAAATCATGTATAAATAACCGGCAGAGACATGCTCAATTAATCTTGTGCGATACGTCTGAAATCAGGGAGATTGTATCAAATGTCGGTGGAAATTTGATCGTATCGAATATCCAAATGAGATAATCGAACTAATGTAATGTGTCCGAGTGAAGAATTTATAGAAGTTTCGGATTTTAATGATAAAGGATAAACTATTCAACATGTTCGCTTTTAATAACACAAAAATTGTGAAGCGATAATACTATATAAAAATATTGAAAAATGCATAAAGTTGAAAAAGAAAAAAAATATAGAGCTTATGTCAAAACGTTTGAAGCACCGTATTTCTCTTGCTTTCCAATAATTTTATCTATTATATTGTGATTGTAAATAGAAAAAAATTTCGATCATAGGCGGATTTGCGATAAGAAGTTAGAATTTCTTGAATTCTCAAAAATATTGGATAGTGTCATAAATAACTTCGCCGATAGCCAGAAACAAGTTAACATGTTAGTAGATTGACAGTAAATTTAATCAAATTTTCATCAATCTGCCAGCATTGCAAATATTTTCTTACCGAGTTCTGTTACAATAGCAAATATTTAATAAACTCAATAATATCAAAAATATCGAAAAATAAAGATATAGTTACAAAAAATTCTAAGGTTTACAAAATATACAATAAATATATAAGAAATGGAAAAAGAAAATTGACATTTGTCACACAAAAAGCAAATTGTACTTTGTTTACTTTTTGATCAGTTTTAAGATCCGCCTATGATTTCGACGCTAATAAATTTAAAATTTACTGCGTATAAAATACACAGGTGTAAACTTACTTGTGAAATTTTCCTGTGACGTTTTCGTATATTCCCTTCCTCTCGGCGTTTGTTTTGAACAAATACTCCGCCCAGCTCTCCGCACTGTCGCGCCAACGAACACGTCAATCCGTCGCAACGACACGCGTCATCGCTCGTGGTCATCCAGCACAGAAAGCACACAGTCGATGCACGTTCTTCATCCACCCACTTTGTTGTCAAACAGTTTGCGATCGTTCTTCGTACAATCACATCAAACCGTTATTTATCTATCCCATAAGACACTCGCGTTGAAGATATCCGATAGAGAATTTTAATCATCTGTCGAAAAGGATCAAAGATGTCGTCGCGCGGATCACTGGCGCTAATACCACAGTAACCGAGTGTCTTTCCAATCCTTCGAAATCACTGCGTGCGCTCTTCCCTCCGAATCATGCTGGTGAATCACACCAATCGCTTGCGCTCAAAACTAAGTCGCACGACTTTTCGATGATTCCGTCCGACGAAAAAATAACGAACAAATGTACGGACGGAGGAGGACGGGGAGGAAGCGTGCGGGATGATACGGGGATGTCAAAGAAGAGACAGCGTCGTGGCTGGCTGGCTGGACCGCCGGCCGGCTCGAGGCGTGCGCTCGTGTAGCACGTGGCCGCGAGACTGAGTATCCCCTACCTTGGGCACCTTCGTCAGTCCGTTTGTCCGCCTCATCCTTATCTCACCTAGCCAGCCGAGAAGGACTACCGCGGCCTTCTCCCGTCGTCTCCCTCACACCACGCCGGCCGATCTCTCTCGCGCTCTCGTCCTTCCTGCTGTCTCGCACTCGCTTCTATCCGCCCATCTCCCTCGATCATCATCCGTCTCTCTCTCCTTCTCCCTCTCGATCCGCCTCGGCGTAGCATCCGTCTCCGCGCCGCGGTGGAAGCATCGCGGTCCAGCTGCTTCCTTCTCGCTCGTTCGCGCGCTCGTTCCTCTCCGTCATTCCAGCTGTTCATTTCGTACTTTGTCCCGCACCGTCTATCCGCCTTGCGTTCGTCTCTCTTTTCCACCATCCAGTTACAACCTGCTCCACTCGCGAGAAGCCGCGATTCTCTCTCGCGACCGAAGAGACGACATACGTATGCGCGCTCCCTCCCCCCAAATCCGCACGCCAGTCCTCCTTTTGCCCGGTCCAGCGGTATCTTATGCAGATTTGCGGCAGAAAATTCCGTTCTTCTCTACAATACCACTATTCTGTTCAAAATTCGCGGAATTGTTTACGTTCGGACCCGATTTTTTGACGCGGAAGCGTGAAAACATTGACTTATCACGCAAACAAGGAAATCGCAGAAAAACTAAGAAGTGTTAATCAGATGATGTTATATCAAAATCTTAAATGCTCTCTCTAAAATTATCGCCATGATAATGTAATCTCAGAACTGAATGGGTATTACCCATCTTTAAATAGACAAAATAAATCTACACGAAGAAAATTTTATATCAAAAATTACTATGTACGGCAGTAGCCGCGAACCATAAAGGAATTATAAAAATTTTTACTATGTTTTTCATACGTGAAATATAGTAAAAATTTTCGGTCTGCGACTTCATGGTTACTGCAGTACATAATAATTTGTGATATAAATTTTCTCCGTGTAGAAAAATTTCCAATATTTTTTGTTTCAATAATATATGAAATGTTTATACGTAGTGTTGGGTAATTTAAAAAAACAAAAAATTATTCAGTGAAATAGTTTCAAATTATGTTGGTTTGTTAATAAATTAAGTAATATCCCAGATAGCCAAATGTTAACAATGTTTACAGATTGACAGCAAATTGAATCAAATTTGCTGTTAATCTGTCAACATTGCTAGCATGTTATTTATTAACTGGATATTAACAGAAGTTGTGTGCGCTAATTTTGTATCTATTAAAATATTGCCTAACAAATATTTTTGATTTGTGAACTTATTAGCATAATTACATATTACTAATGGAGAATGGAAAAGTATTTGAGGAGAAACAAATATGAGATGCAAACCGCCTGATGATTTCAATGCGCGATTGTATCAATGATTTTAATGCATGCATAAGATGAATGATTCGAGTATGCGCAATTTGTTACTAGTTTACGTAAATGTTTTTTTATTGTTTTTCAGGAATAGAGGCATCTTTTTAAAGATAGAAACTAGACTGTCACATAGGTGCAAATTAATACACGGAGAAAATTTTATATCCAAAATTACTATGTACGGTAGTAGCTGCGGATTACGAAGGAATTATAAAAATTTTTACTATGTTTTTCACATGTGAAACATAGTAAAAATTTTCGATCCGCGGCTTCATAGTCCGCGGTTACTGCCGTACATAGTAATTTTTGATATAAAATTTTCTCCGTGTATAAAATGCATTCCTCTTATTAAGACATAGATAATCACTTGAGTTCTGCAACAGTTATTTATAATAATAACCATAATAATGCTTAATTATTATTACTAGCACATGATTTATTACATTGACAGTTACGGGTCATTTTTTGCCATTCTTTACGATCGTGCCTAAAGCGTATAGCAAACGTTTGGATCAATAGTTCAAATTGAAAATATGTTAATTATTAAAATACGAGCGATCGGATGAATAAATTCAATCGTGCGTGACCTATCGATTCGCATGGCAGAAATCGGCGAAGAAGAACTATTTAATGAAACGGACCTTCGCATGAATATCCATCCCATTATTGCCGCCGCATGCAATTCTCAATCTTCGCGGTAATATTGCAATTGGTTCTCTGGTTTGTTTCGTTTCGCCTAAGATGAGACAAATGGTATACCTTTCTATCACTGTCGTTGTGCGGAATAAAGCTGAAGAAGACCCCATTGTATGAAGTAGGAGGTGCCGATCAGCGACCAATAGAAAGAGCCGCCACCCACGAAGTAATAAAAATTAATTTATCACATGGATCACCGCCTACGCCATCGCTTGGTCCACGCACGCGAGATTCCGCAGCATCCCGTGAGATAGCGTTAACTGTCGGGTATTCCAAGAAATCAACTCTCGTTCGCGATTGCATCTTTTCCGACATACAGATTAAATAATTGGAAGATCACTGCACGTTTGCATTGGAAATTTATTTGATTTTAAGAATTTTAATTATTTCAGAATAAAAAATTATATTGTTATTATATTGATGCCTTAAGAATTTAATTGAGAAATAAATAATTCAATTCTAATTTGTTCTAAAATATCGTCTATTTTTTAATCTAACTCTTTGAATAAATATTTTTCAATTATTTTTTTACTATATCATCCTATTTTTCTATAATCTGGAATAATAAAACATTTCTCCAGATATAAAGATATTTTATAAGAAAAAACAACATTGTCATTTTTAGATTAATTATTTAATTATTTTGGATTAATTGTTTAAAGGAAAAAAGCCATTAAATATCATACATATTTGGGCTAAAAGATCTTATATGTTTAATCAATATGTTGGATCAAATTCGAGGTATAGGCTTTATCCATAATAAAGAACTTTATCCATAATAATTACCTTACAATTGTTCTGCCGTCGCCTGATACCCACCGGGCCTCCTCCTCCTCCTCTCCAACTTTTCCGTGGCTGCACTCCTTCCATGGCACTTCACATTCACTCGCGGAAACACGATTACAAACGCCGATTGCTAGAATACGCGCGAAACTTTACACGACACTCCCGCCATTAAACATACCCGACGCTTTACCACCTCGCGACGATCGCGCAATACTTTCCACGGCACCTCCCGACGTTAAATACATATTTAACGCGTATTTTATCACTTCACAACAATCGCACGATACTTTAGACGACATTCCCGACATTAATCGTATTCCCGGCGCGCATTTTACTACACTTTGACGAAGAAATAATATAATCGTACGGAGCGACTGTTTAATCGTTACAATGACTTGCACAAAATTAATCCGAGATCACTGCCGATATTCAGATTATACGGAATAGAACAAATGAGAACAGCCGAAAGCAAAAATCGCAACCAACTTCATCGCGCCCTTCGCCATGACAGTAGTGCACTTATTACTCTGACTACACTTTCGTACACTTTTCGCAATTTCGCATTTACATAAAAATAATATTTGTATTTTGTGATATTTTGTTGCCTCCTATTATACTACTGTCTTATATTATTACCCTTTTACATTATATATTATAAATCAGCTGCACTCATTGGTCGTAATCTTTTTCATTTGATAAGTTTCGGAGCACACCAAAATCGCAAGACCGTCCTAGTGTTTTAGTGAGTTCCAAAACTCATCGAATAAAAGAATATCGCAACGATTACACCTTTTCATTCATAAGTGTACGTCCATATGAATAGGCCTTAAGTCTGGCAGGCCTGCCAGGTCTAATCAACCTCGCGATGCTGAATTGTGAAAGAAATTGGCAAATTGTTTTTATACGGAGGCGGTCGTGAAAATTCGGGCATGAGGCATGCCGCATTTGTGACGATCAACGATAACGTGATAGACTGAGTGAGTCCTGCCTTCGGGATGTGCGATAAAGTCTGGGAGCCCTTAGCCGAAATCTACATCGCGGAGTCCACTGATCCCGATGATTACATTTATTGTCTTTGCAGCAGAGTATTTATTCGGTAAGTATACTCCATAAATCACACTTTATTTCTCTCAGCAATTTACTTTCGAAAAAGATATCTAGCGCACCCATATAATTATTAAGTATGCAAAACAGTATAAAGGATTAATTCACTTATTGATCAGTAGTGTAAAATGTGATTTAACCTTGACATCTACTTGTTCACTGTGAATAAATTGTAACAGATTTCACGACTGATTGTTTCAATATTATTTGCTACTTTACTCAATAAATAATTAAAATTAAAAAATTTATAATAGTTTTTATATTCAACTGTTCTTTTTTGTTACATTTTCGGCAATAACCACATAACATATGAAGCATACAGTATTATTTTGCAAAATTTACTGAAAAGCAATGAATTTCTTATAACTTAAAAACCTTAATTGTTTATTGTTCATTAATAAAATCTGCAAAATCTCACTGAATTTTAATGATCGTGTACTGTGCAATTATTGGTGAAAGTGTGAAAAAAAGAAGAATTTGCTGGAAATTATAGATATTTTCTTCGTGATACATAGTTCTTATGATTAGAATCAAGATTATTTTTTAATACATTGAAGAAAATAGTCAAAAGAACCCAAGTACAATTGTTTAAATTAACCTAACTTATTGGTATTCTTTATACTTTTGAATTTCTATAAAGATACTATAATTAATTATAATTACGATGAAGCTCTTACTTATCACTAATTATTTCTAGGAGTCCTGAGGTTTATACAGCCTTAGCTTCAGAAGATGCCAGTGAAGGAGAAGATGTTGATGGAGATTATGTGGGAGAGATGCTGGATCTTCATAAGGGATCTGGGATAGAGACACAACCTATAGAAAAGCATGATGTATGACAACTTGCCATTTATTAGTACATACTATAAAATATAGTAAATTTGCACATAACATTTATTGTTTTCGACATTTTAAGTAAAATATTAATTTTTTTATTATAGGAAGAACCAGTAAGCTGTTATTGCAGTGCATCTCACACAGATAACAATTACTCTACAGACGAACATGACTCCGTACGTGATTCGACTCACTGGCCCACTGCACATTCCCTGACTCAGAAACTGGGTCTGCATCAATCAGATTCTGGTGCAGATCTATCCGAATATCATGATCAGCACGAGGCAAAAAGTATACAGAATCTTGTAGCATCTTATGGAAAAACTTTCCAAACTGCAGAGACTGAGATTGAAAATGATTACAAAAATACGGATATGCTAACTGAATACAAACATGTATCAGGTAAATATATTTTTGAAGACCTTAAAAACATTGTCTTAAATCATGATCTTATATTAATTTTACTTTGTTATTAGGTGACAAGGAATCAATGGCACAAAGTTTATCAGACAGTACTACTATATCAAATAAAGAAGCACACAACAAAGATCTCACACAATATGATTGTGATTCTTACACTTATCCCTATTCTACATATTATGGAAGTAATAAAACTGCAATGGATATAGCCTGGGAAAAGTTTTGGGGTCAAAATGGAGAGCAATTAATATGGGCATCTTGGATCGAAAAATATGCGGATTACATAAATCCTGATTATTTTCAGAATAATACAAATGCAGTGGAAAATGAAATCTCACAAGATGTAGAAATTAATGAAGCCAGAGAAAATACTTTGAGCAAAATACATGTTTTCCGAATCAAGCACACAAAAATTGCGAATTTTTACGTTCCAACTTTACAGGAATTTTCAATAAAAGTTATTCAAGCGATGGCGAATTAAAACCAGCAGGAGTATCTTCTTCGAATACCAGTTTTTCATTTGAACAGACGAGCAGACAAGAGATTAATGATAAAGATGCGGACGAAAATAGGAAGAAAATTATCAATTTTGAAATATCGCCGGAAGATGGTGAGGGCTGGAATCCTTTAAGCCCATTCAGTATAGAAGAAAATTATAATCAACAATCTAATGCAGAAGACGAGAGATTATTAACGAGATGCGATTCCACTAATGGCTCGATAGCGAAAACAAACGCGACTTCCGATTCCATGACAAATGTCACCAAAATGACGCTAACTAGCTCTAGTTGCGATTCCAATTCTGTTCATTCGTCTAGTCTCATTACTTCCGTTACGAGTTCTATAGAAAGTAGTATAACCAGTAGTTCCGATCAAGAGAATGAACTCTCAGTGGAAGATAACGATAAATATTGGCAGCATCTGTGGAAGGAAAATTTTCAGATGCAATATCAAAAGCAGTATGAATTATTCATAGCAAATTATAAAAAGAAGCACAATATAGATAATGATCAGTATTTTAGTATGTTAAATGAATCAATTGGGGATTCAGTTGTACTTCAACAAGATGAAACGCCACTACAATATCCACAAGAGGACATAAATAATCAGGAATTCTCAGAGACTGATATTTATGAAGACGAAAAGGACATGAGCACAAACGTACAAATTGACATAACTACATCAAGTAAAGCTAATTCATTTGGAAATAAAAACGTGAAAAGGAACAACGCACACTCAAAATCTAACAAATTGAGGACAGAAAGACTAATTATGGATTCAGTGGGTACGCTTATAAAAAATCTATCAATAAAAACACAAGATGAATCTATCGATGCTGCCGAGGATGAAAATATATGTGAAGAGCAACAACAGATCCACACTCAAGCTACAATAATTACTCAAACCAAAACGGAAACGATGGCTTCCAGTAGCGATATCAATAGCAGTCATCAACAAAAATCTCCTGATGGAGGAGATGAATCTTTTCATGGAGAAGTTCAAGAAATTTATCAAGAAAGGTATATTGTAATTATAATGATAGTAGTCGTACTGATTCATCGATCTATTTATTTAATTTACTTTGTAATAATTATGGCAATGCAAAGATGAAATAAAATTTATTCATTTTTCGGTTTTATCTAGCCACGAAGACTCTGACTCTAACGATAATGGAGATGGTTTAGAATCCGTGAAAAGAGCCTTTTCACTATTGGGTTACGGCTTATGTGAAGATGAAAGCCATAGAAAATTACAAGGTGAAGTTGTTTACCGGAAACGTAATATTAGGCGACAAAGTTTTCAATTGATGGCAGAACTTAAGCGGTTGAAAACTATGTATAAAACTACCATTGATAGTCAACAGACCATCAGAGATACAAATAAGGTAAGATCTATACCTTAATACATTATATATTTATTTTCATAAAATAAATTTTTGCTATGTTTTACTTTTAAATGTCATTTAGATTTACAACTACTATTTCATATATTTAGTTGTGAGGGAAAGAACATAATATTACTCTTGTGTCTATCAGATTTCTCCCTTTTTTCTCTTAATACTTTATCACTATATCTTGGTAGTTTCAAATATAATTTTTTTCTTTATTTAAATGGAAATCTGTATATATATATATTTTTTTTTCTTATTTTGTTTGCTATCTATATTAGAATGTTGCTTGCCAATATGTACGTATATTGGTCTTATGTTAACTTTAAATTTTAATTGTTTAGATGTTTTTTTTTGGTGTATTCTAATTATTTAAAATTTACATAAAAATTTTTCACAAAAAATATAGTTGAATGAATGGGTCCATGAAATTAGGGATAATTGGAGAATGTTATGTTACCGACTGTTTTCTGTATTCGATATTATTATTGGATTTGCTGACGTAAACTAATATTAGTTTTATAATTTATTACTATTCAGTTATTTCATAAAAGTGTGTATATATATTTTTGACACGGTACTATATTTATGCGAATTTTTTCCACGATTATCATCCGATTTGATTTACTGTCTTTCTAATAGTTCCCGAGAGGACGCTGGCGTACATAAATAAAAGATGTGCGCACTTAACGCAATTTGTAGGTTCCTTTGTTTGGAATGTTGAATCTGTGATTGTAGTTGTGAATGTTGTTTTTTGTTGCAATTCCTGTACTTTTTTTTGTTTCTTGCAATGTTCAATAATTATAAATTTTTTCGTTTTCGACGCAGAAAGTATAATGTTGCACAGTTACATAGAGCAAATATTTATGTAAGTGGTTCAATATTGACATCTCTTTTAAGCACATGGTTCTCCTTTAAGCACGTTTTTCTCTTAGTTGTAAAGCCCAACGCACAATAGAGAAAATATTAGAAATAAGAATAAATATTAAATATTAGGAAGAGCAATTTAGAATTATTTTACTTCAAACAAGGAAATGAAATGCTTAATTATTTCCAATTCTTATTTCCTAATTCATATGTTAATCCATTTTATTTTCTTGTTTTGAAATGAAATAACATTAATTTTCTACTTCTAATTAATATTTATTCTTATTCTTAATATTTTCTCTATTATGTGTAGAGCCTAAGATTCTATATAATTAGTTTCTATTGTTTCTAATAGGCAAACAAGTCTTTGTCTTGTGATTCATCATCGGTGTCTGCAGAAACTGATGTACAGTTAATAGACAAAGGTTCCTATGCAAAAGCACAAGCTATGTTTACATCAAGTTCTGATGAGGAAGATTATATAAAAATGATGCAAAAGAAAAAAAAGAAGAAACAAGTTAAAAGATTAAATAAAGCTATTCCAAAAGAAATAGCAAGTGATTATAAACTATGGAAATATTATATCAAGCGATTTGGTCTCTTCAGCAGATATGAAGATGGAATTAAATTAGATCGTGGTATGTATTCCATATATATCCTACAAAATAAATCCTACACGTAGAAAGTGACAATAATATATTTTGTTTGCAGAGAGCTGGTTTTCTGTCACACCTGAAGAAATAGCAAAAGACATAGCAGAAAGATGCAGGTGTGATACAATTATTGATGCATTTTGTGGTGCAGGCAGCAATGCTATTCAGTTTGCGTTCACATGTGAAAAAGGTGTGTTTTTGTATATTTGTTTATTTGTTATATAAAAGTTTACAAACAAAAACAAATTTATACATTCTATTTTACAGTGATTGCTATTGATATCGATCCCAATAAAATCAAGATTGCTCGGCACAATGCAGGAATTTATGGTGTAGAAGATAGGATAGAATTCATTGTTGGAGATTTCCTGCAATTAGCGCCACGTTTAGTTGCAGATGTTGTATTTTTAAGTCCACCATGGGGTGGTCCTGATTACATAAAGAAGAAAGTATTCGATCTCGAAAGTATTTTGCCTCCCATTGGTGGAACTAATATATTCAAAGCAGCAAAGGGAATTACACAACACGTGGCCTATTATTTACCTAAAAATTCATCTGCTCTACAGGTAAATAATAAAAGAATATATATATATATTTTTTTTTTGCAACATTGATTTAACAGATGTAAATAAAATTACAGATTACCATGTTAGCTAATAAGTATGACAAGGTGGAAATTCAACAAAACGTGCTCAATGGGAGGTTTACAGCTTGTACAGCTTATTATGGTGAATTGCCCAAGGTGTAATTTAAAAAAAAAAAGGAAAAGAAATCTTATTCAGTTCATTTAATTTTTCAGTTTTTACTTGATATTTTATCAAACTCAAGACTTTGATACACATTTTTCTTCAATCAAAAATATTTTATAATTGTATTATGAAACGTAACACTTGAAAGGCTAATGTAATTTACATTTTATGACTTTGAGTATTAATTTACGTTTTTTATGTACACTTCCATAATTTTAATTATTAATAAATATATTTCCAAGAACACATGCCTTATGACGCTTTAAAATTCCGTGAAATTTATAAACGAAGGAATAATGTACTGAAAAGATCCAATTTAATATTAATATCTTTTTAACCCAAGTTCGGTCTATACATCCAAAACTAAATACCCATAATGTTTGCATAGGTCCAAAAAATATCACATTCAAAAGTTTTCATTAAATAAGGTGTTTCTATCATGTTGTTGAAAAAAACTGTGTAATAATGTCTAAATAATTACTAAGTAATATTTGACTAGAACAACATTTTATCATTGTAAGGTGTATTATTAGAACTTGAATGTCATTTAATTTATTTTAAACTTATTGGAAGTCATTTTATTAATTCTGACATTAATTCTTTATTATTGATTTGCATGATTTCACGAATCAATATCAATGTTTGTTACGCTCGTCTCTTCAATATCACTGTTTATCACGCTTGTCTCTTCAATATCAATTGTTCTTACATTTCTTTCCTCAGGTTCTGCCGGTATCGTTATACCACCAGTATCTATACTTTCTTCTTCTTCTCTAGGAATTTTTAAGAAGCAATGCATCGTTTCATCGTCCTCTTGCTCAATTGTAGAACTTTTGTTTAAATTTTCTCTTGTTGACAGTGAACCTTCGAGATGTTTCGATGGTATTTGTATCGTAATTGTTTGCGAAGTACCATCAGCAGACGTTGAGGAAGACATCAAATTAGCTTCTAACGTATCCCCGTCTTTTGAAAAGGCACCCAAGCAGCTATAAACTAATTGCGCTGCTGCAATATTACCAGGAAAGACTTCAACATTTTCACCATCTGTAAAGGAATACAAATAAAAATATGCTAATCCTGCTAAATTAGAGAGTAAACGAATGTGCAATTTTGTAAACAAATGCTAATATTACCTTTTTTCGGTACGTTAGGTTTTATCAAGCCATTTTCATGGTTTGTTACATGCTGAATATAACTTTCATTCTTGACCGTTTTAAAAGGACACAGGTCGCATGTAAATAAGCCAGACGACAAGGGATGCCTCGATTTTAGATGATTTTTATAACTACTGCTTTGTATTGCAGTGTAAGAACAATGCGGGCATTTATACGGTCGGAATCCTGTGGAAGAAAATCATATTATTCTTTCTTATAACGTTAATGCACTTCTTTTATAGCGATTAATACAATATTTACCTGTATGTTGCATAATATGCCGCCGTAAGGTGTTATGGTCTCCAGTTTTGTATTCGCAAATCTCGCAACTGAATGGTTTGGCTCCTGTATGTTGACGCAAGTGCATTTCCAGCATCGCCTTCCTAGCGCTAGTGTGGCCGCAGATGTTACAAACATACGGACGTAGTTTTGAATGTACAGCTTGAATGTGATTCTTTAAACATTTCGAATTCGCATAAGTTTTACCGCATATATCGCACTTCTTGGAGGTGTACCATCGAGTTACTTCTGATGTTTTGCGGTCTAAATGCATCACTCGATGATTGCGCAATTGACTAGCTTGTTTGAAACATTTTCCACATTCAGGACATTCATATTCCCGAGTGTCACTGTGCACTCTCATGTGTGTTAAGAGTTTCACCATAGTAGCACTTTTGTAAGTGTTACATATTTTGCAAGTGAACAAACCTATGTCTAAATAAAAATATTAAATATAAATTCTTTTAACACTATATACTTATGCATCTCGTGTTATACAAACCAATTTGATGTTTCTTCCATAAATGTAAACTACATGGACGCCACTTTGCGAACTTCATATCACGACATATGGTACATTTGAATGTTGTCACTGTCTCAGATTCTATGTGACAGAGAATATGCTGCTGCATAATTTCCTGTGAAGTGAACTTGTATGGACAGCCCTGATACGAACATCTTGCAAAGATTATATACATTTAAAAAAGGTAAATGAAAAACAAATTCTTATAGAACATATTTCTTATAAAATTACTTACTTTACAGTTCTCTCTGTGGATTCTATCATTTTCTTGTTACGTATATATTCTGAACTTATAGATTTTGAAATTTTTACAGGACGTTCTACCTCATTGTTTTCAATATGCTGGCCCACATGTTCGGTCATCAAGATGGGATTTGTCAGATCTGTCAAATTTTCTTTCCCAATTTCATCACTTCCAATGTCTGTTAATTGATGATCCTGAAAAAAATATATTCCATCATATCAGTTATATGAAAAAAGAGTTGTCTTACAAAACATTAAATTTAAAATAATTACATTAATCATGTGTCCTCTGCAGTCTTCAAAAGAAGGGAAACAATTGGAACATTCTGTGCACATATACACTATTCTTACTTCCCCCATGTTTTTAGATTCTTCTTTTGGCTGTATACATCATATATAAAAATCAATTTATATTGCATTATTACAATTTCAACTAGTAAAATATAATTATTTAATTAAAAACCTAAACTGTGATCCAAATCTAAATTACTGCTTACCTCAATATCTACAGTAGAATTTAAATGTATTTTCTGAATGTGATTTAGTAATTGTATTTTATCTTGGGTCATGTAAGTACATATTTTGCATTTGAAAGCTGTAACAATTTCTACAAAATCATCAGCATTAACGTTATCATCTTCCATAACAACGTCTTTCTCTTCTGTAACGGATTCATACTGTTCTTCAGACTGTTCATATGCATTTTCGATTACTATATTTTCGTTACTAAGATACTCATTTCCACAATTTTCCATATCTTTAGTAACTAAAAGTGTTTTTTCATGACAATCTGTTTGCTCTACGATCTGGTTAGTATCTAATTCTTGAAATATTCCATTTTGAAATGCATACACTTGTCCATTCAGACAAATCAGCGATATTGATTCTTCTTCTTCTTTTTCTAGCTCTGTTTCCTTAACAGTATCCATATTGACCATATCAACCGTGTTTTGCTCTTCATTAGATGTCACATCTTTTATAATGTCCGTCGGTGCTATTTTACAAATGTATCTTGTACCATTTATATCGCAACTTAAATAAGATATATCTTCATTTGTATCTTCATTCATTGTTTAATGAAAATTATAATCTAATTATGCATTAATAGATCTTCTAAGGATTTGGATATTTACATAATTAATTTCATATTTCCTGAAATATAAATGTCAATATATACAAACTATTTACAGATGTGTACAAAAAATATGCTATTATATGTGTATACTTCTAAAAATTTTCAAAAATCGAGAAATTTATCATTTTTCAAGAGAATAAGATATTTAAATACATAACAATATAGAATAATGAGGTTATCTCTACGAGTGAATAACAGTGAGACTAGTAATGCGAACAGTAATTAAACTCAAAAAACAATATATTTCTACAACGAAAAATTAAGTTCCTCATTCGATGACATCTATAAAATAAATCAAAAATATGCATTCGAAAATGTTTGAATTCGAAATCATATTTCGCGAAGCTCTCGCGCATACAGGCGTCTGCTTCGAGATTTCCAAACATTTTTGCGCGCAAAGTAATAAAGAAAGATCGCCGGTAAAGTGACAGATAAGAAGATAAACTCACAGAAAGTAAAGGCTGTTTTAAGGATGTATGGAAATATTAAAAAAATTGAGGTAAACGTCAAATTTCAGCACAATATCCGTGAAATCCGTGATGTTCTGCCATGATACGTCACGTGGTCACAAATTATGCTCGGTTTGTTCGTTTTTCATTTCTGTACATTTTTTTTCTTTAAGATAAAAAAAAATTTTTTTACATTTTCCTACTTTGATTCTCATTCGCATATTTTAATTACATAAGTATCTTAAGAATAAAAATGTTGCACTGATGTTTAAATAAAAAATTGATTAAGAGATTAAAAGAGAGAGTCCATGCAATGATTATTCGTTTTATATATCGCATTCCTGACTCATCAGACCAAACAATACTGTATATTCTGAATTTTTTTCTCAGTTCTAATTTTTATTATAAAAGTACATTCATATGTAAAGTAAAAATCAATTCTGAATTGATCAAGTGCATAATAACCAACCCTCTCTGACTTCCTATCCAAGCGTATGCAATGGTTGTGTTCGTTAATGTCGCCAGTTGGAATTAATCCGTAGCGTGGCGCTAGTTGTCTGGTGGATTGTCAGATTTAATTCAAATTAAAGAGAAATGACAAGTAAGAAGTGATATTTTTACGTGATACTTATTTGCTACTTGATCTTTTAAAATTTATTTAGTGGGTTTGTCATTTTCATTTCTCTTTAATTTGAGCTGAATCTGATAGCCCAACCAGAACAACTAGCGCCACGCTGCGGATTAATTCCAACTGGCGTCAGTACAGAACATGAAATAGTGGGGGGGGTTAGATAGGGCCAAGTTGATAATGACATCCAATTTTATTCACGCATGCGTATGAAATAATACAGGAGTAATGTAAAGGAAAAAATTAAGTTAATAATTGAAGAATATACACATAAAGAATCTCTAAGTTTAAAAAAATAAAATGTATAGAAAATATGTAAAAAATAAGGCATCAATGGCATCAAATAAGGTATGCTAACATGAGTTACATTAGAATTACCTATTTCATTAACAAATGTCTTCACTGATTTTTTGTGTATCTTATATATTTTAATTTATAACAAATATATCTCTTATGTCCTTTCAGAAACCTAAGCGAGAAAATCTTAGCATCGAAGATCGTGTTAAAATTTTAGAGCGACTTGATAAAGGAGAAAAAGGTACTGATCTTGCACAAGAGTACAAAGTATCCAAAGATACAATTACATTTATAAAAAAGTCTAAAGAAAATCTATTAAGAAAAAGAGATATACTTATTATGTGTCATGGAACAACATCCAAGAAGAGATACACAGGCATTGAAAATACTGGTCTTGATCAGGCCTTGTACAAATGGTTTCTTGAAAAAAAAAATATTGGAGAGCTTGTGACAGGACCAATGCTACGAAAGAAAGCCTTGGAGTTTAATGAAATGATTAATGGTACAAACAATTTTAAAGCTTCTACAGGTTTTGTAGATAAATTTAAAAAAAGATATAACATTACTTTAACAACACGTGGAAACGAAGATAATGACATTGTAGATCAAGATGAAAGTGATTTTTATCTAGAACTGTCTAGTGATCATGATGAATGTTAATATATTCATGAACAGGAATAGAAAGTTTTAAGTGGTTGAGAAGTGCTCTTGCTTGAACAATGTAAAAATGATACTATGAAAAAAAACATGAAAGGTGAACATGAATGTTCTCTGCAAATAATTTTACAAGAAGTCCTTTTGAAGGAATCAATACATTCATGTCCTGGTATCACACTCATGAGCAGTGCTCACTTCAAGATTGGCAACGTTTAATTCTTACAAAATTATAACCATTATTTGATTGCTCATATTATTTATTGTACAAAATCCGATACATATATGTACATACTTAATTATATTGACATATAACATGTTAATAGACATAATATTAACAATTCCTAATAAAATGTGTAAATAATACAATTTTACGTGCATTTAGGTGTTCTTTCTACATTTTGTCTCGCTATTTCAGGAAAGAATTGAGAATTATATTTCTGTTTTATAGCAGGTTTAGGAGTTTCTGGTACTGTGACAGGCACAGGATCACCTCTCAATTTAGCTAATAACGCTTCAGTCCTTAGTTTTTCACTTTGTTCCCTAAGCTTTCTCTCTGCTCTTAATTTTTCTATATCTATATTCTTACTCTGATCTTCTTTCTTCACCAATTGTTTATACTTTTCCTTCTTATGCTTTTTATGTTTTTTCTCCTTCTTATGTTTTTTGTGTATACTGCGACTTTCCTGATCAGAATGAGAACTGTTAGAGCTATGACGCTTTCTCTTAACATTTTCTATCTTTATTGAACAGGTCTCATTATATTTAGGTTGCATAATATCTAGATATTTTTTTATATCAACCATTGGATCACATAAAGTTTTCTTCTTTGTTTCTACTTCCACATCCTTTTCTGTATCTGTTAGTCTTTTCGGTAATTCCTCATACCAATTTTTTTTTCCAGTTGCTTCATTAGTATCTTGTCCTAAATATGTCAAATATCCAATTTGCTTCTCATATTTTTCCTTCTCCTCCTTCTTTTCCTTTTCATGTTCCACATTAGGTTTATTGTAATCAATTTTTCCATCCTCAAGCTCAGCAAAAAAGTTGACATGCTCCAACTTTTTACTGGTACTCTGAGTTTCTGCACGACCATCATATTTGGATCTTGCCTGATCCCTTAACGAATTTATTCTCGCTTCTGTTTCCTAAAATAATGAGAACAAAATGTTGATTGCAATCAGTAATTTTGAATAGCAAAATCGATAAAAATAATTTATAAATATTAAATTAAATCGTATTCATAACATAAAATTTCTATAATAAAAATTTTGAATAATTAATTACGTACAGCTTTTTGAATACGTTCTTGCTTAATTCTTTCTTCTTCTGCAGCTTTTGCTTCATCCCGACGTACACGAGCAATGTTCTCTTTCGTTCGAACATGCCATCTGAACAAATATAAAATAACAATTACAGTCAAAATATATGCAATAAAAAATGCATTAGAAATAATAATAATTCATACCTTTTCTTTGGTAAAATATTCATTGTTAGCGATGTACAATGATAGTTTTGATATATTAATGTTAGGTTAGATTAGGTTAGATTATCAAACAATTATTATGAAATTTATTCTCCTCTAGAGCTACATCTCTGCAAGAACGCTTCAGCGTATATACACTTCTTGCACTAGTACAGAAAGTTTAGCTACAAAGAACAAACCTTTGATTTTATATGGAGAAAAAGGATATGTGTATATAGATTTCCGAACTTTCATAAATGCATCAAAAACTATAACATTTTTTATCCAATCTTTTGATTGGAAATTGTCTTACAATATTATCTTGTGGATAAGTATTAAGAAATTATAAAATTTTATTTTCTGCAGTTGGCAGTTTGTGATAGTCCACCTTTCGTAAAGAATGTCAGATATTTGGAACTATTCATGGTAACGAGGTTAGTTGCATACCGAAAGGCGTGATACGGTCTCAAGCCGGGGTTAGGAATCCAAAAATTAGAAAAAGTAGAAATTGCACGCTGTGCTTGAAAGATTTTTATTTATTTGCAAAATACGTAAGTAAATACATATGTCACACACATATATACGCATATATAAAATAGTGTGTATGCTTTTAATATATGACACAAGATACTTTACTTTTGTTGTTGTATTTATTAAAAAATATATACTTTTATATACATAACTCTTAACATATTCACTTAAATTATACTAAGTGTATTTTATGTGAGATATATTTGTAATTTGTGTAAAGATATAAAGTAAGTTAATGTGGCTATTGAAATGTATTCTCCGAAAGTATGGGGGGGAGGGGAGGGTATATGAACACATTAGTAAATAATATTGAATATATATCGAATTATATCTAATTATATTTTTAAAATGTTATATATAGAATTTATTTTTACAGATTTTTCAAAATTTTTACCATGGCTGCGACAATGCCCGTAAATCCCAAACCATTTCTAAATGGTTTAACTGGAAAACCAGTGATGGTGAAATTAAAGTGGGGTCATGAGTATAAAGGTTACTTAGTTTCAGTGGATGGATATATGAATTTACAGTTAGCAAATACTGAAGAACATATAGATGGTAATTGCACTGGAAATCTCGGAGAAGTATTAATCAGATGCAATAATGTCATGTATATAAGAGGAGTGGAAGAATCGGATGAAGAAGGCGAGATGAAGGACTAACTGTAATAATTGTAATAAATATTTAATCCAATCTAAAGCTAAATGTGTAGATTAATCTTATACTATTAAGTGCGTTAACTTAATTCAAAACACAAAAATAATTTTGACAAATTAATAAAACATTTTTTTACAATAAAAGTTTTATTTATTTAAGTAATAAGAATAAATACAATAGATCTATTTTAACAAGGTTTTGGAACATTAGTTACTATAGGTTTTGGTCTTGATTTAAACATTAGTTTCTTCTTCACAATAGCTTTTACAATATACTCTGTCTTTACAGTAGATTCTTCTTCCATTATTTCATCTCCTGTATTGCTATGCTGCTTTTCCAATACAATCAAAGGTTTCTCAAGTGTCACTTCTTTTCCATGCAGTACATGAATTCCAATAATTAAAATCGGTACTCCAGTTTTTGTAAAGTGAAGATCACCGATTAATTGATTATCTAAATTTTCAGATTTTTCGAATTTTAGATCTCCTTGGAGATCTATAATGGCCCAGTCTTCTATAACTCCATCTCTAAAATAAAAATAGATTTATTTCATACAGACAAATTTCTTCCTATTTTATATAAATATAAAAATATAATAAGAAAACACTAGTTACCTTTTAATCGATACGATCATTTTCATTAGGTTAGGGTTAGGCACTATAAATGGCGCCAAAAATATTTGTCACTCGGAATGAGCCGGTAGACGCAATCGGGCGTTCAAGTGTTTATAGCGCTATTTATATAAAAAATTATTTTATTTTGTTTCTATAAAAAAGTTATTCTCATACGGTTTATTTAAAAAAGAATTATCAGTAAATATTTTTTGATTATTTAAGCGATTAAATAAAAATTATAATAGCAAAAGATAATTAAAAAAAATATTAATCTATGTAGAATAAAATATAAAAGAAATAAAATAAAAATAAATGACAGATACAGGGATAGATATTGATTAATTACACGGTTTAATTGTATTTCGATCTGTGATTGTTGCATGTTTATATTTTGTTCCATTCTTTTCTCTTTTCCTTTCTCTTCACATGGAAGTAAATACATTGGACGTAAATCACAGCACGCTTTGAATACATACTCATGCATAATTGTAATAATATGTACACGTAAAAGTACAAATAAATATTTGTAAGTGCGCTTGTTGAAGCATAGTTTTTTAGAGTCGCTACATAAAATTTCTTGAGATTCGTATATTTTATAGTAAGATTTGTTCGGTGACACTTGTTCTTTTACGGATACATTTATCAATTAGATTTTATATACAGAATCAGATTTTTAATTAAATTCGTCAAATTGGACGCACAAATTTCGATGGCTTGAATATTAAAAAATTATATGCTGATATAAAATAGATATAAAAAATTGGTGAAACTTGTCACAAAGAATTATTTCGAGCAGTTCAATTTTAGCGGCTAAATTTAATGCTCGATTTCGGCTTTCTTGTGCGATTTGGTGAAACGAAGTAGTTGGCATTGGCAAGTTTGCGAATAGCGTGAATATTCCACAAGTAATTTCTTCTTTTAACATCAGGATTCAGAAGTAATTATATATACTATATATATAGATATACAATAATCTTAAACATAATTAACTTTGATTATCTATTGATGCATCAATCGAGAATTAGGCGTCGAAGCTTGTAGGAAATGCACTAAGGCAATATCACTCACAATAAAATATGCTAGTATAGTGTAAATTTTATGTGTAATGTACATATATGCGTGTATGGATCTATGTATATTTATATATGTACAAAAATCTTTTTATATGAAATATTCTCTAAGAACAATACAAAATATTTGAGGAAGGTAGTTGTGCAGTGACGATCAGAAGGAAAGCAATACTTTCATTCACACTACACTAGATAATTACGTTTCTTATTCGTTACAAATTTGTAAATGTCTTTAATTTTTAGTTTGAAACGTATAATTGTATTGATGTGAGAAGTAGGATAAACTCTAAAGAGTGCTGAGACGCCCTACATGTGTGAATGTATCTTCTATGATATTCTATGGTTCATTTCACTGTTGTAAAAAAGCATTGGCGCATCTAACATGTTAACAGTAAATTTTAACTTATCTGACCGTTCGAAAAAAATACAATACTATATATATATTTTAATATTTCTTAATTATAACATTACATAAAAAATAATATAACGAGACATAAAAATTTAACAAGATGCTATCTTTAGAATCATTTAATTAAATATATTTTAATTTCGACAGGAGATTGTCAGGAACCTAGTCAGGAATTAACATCTTGGCAAAATAAATGATTATAAAGATAGCTTTTGTAGCATTAACACGGAATAGAACAATTCTATTAAACTTTTCTACCTTTTTGTTAGATTGTTAGCATAAGTATAAGAAAAATAAAGCTGATTATGAGTTTAACAAACCATCTCAACGGACGGATAGATTTTACGAAAGCGAGAAGTTCTTTAGTTTTAAAAGCTTAATCTATGTGCGTTTCTTACATTATGATACTTTCGTGAATATTGTTTAGAATAGCATAACACTAATAGTAGTATTATTCGTGCTGCATCTATTAAGAGCAATGATGCTAAATGAGATAGTGTGGTGCGTTTTACTTCTCTAATCATATAATATTCTGTATAGTAAAGAGAGTTTGATTATCTAAGAATTAGAAATTTTTGATGGATAGTTTTGAAGGAACATTAAATACTTTTGTAAGTAGCATTAATATCATAGGACAATAAGAGTGAGCAGGCAAGTGTATAAATCTATTTTTTCTACTGTTAATATTTCTTTGGATCGTGGTTTTTTGGATAGATTTTTATTTGTGCAAATGTTCAACAGTAAAATTAATGGAAAAAATAATGTTCATGTATTGAAATTATATTTACATTGTAATAGCTATTCAAATATCTTCTTTTACTTAGAGATAAACTTTTTATCCTTATCTTTACTTAGAGTACTAAATTATATTATTAATAAATTAGCTATTTCGTTGATTTTATGAAAAACTGTGTATATACAATAACATCAACGTCGATGTATGTCATAATACCACTTTGTATGTAATATATATATACAATAATTATGCATATCGAAATTGTAAGAAACGAGAAAGGTAAGCGTTTACTAGAGTTTGCTGTAGAGAACAATTTGACCATCATGAACACTTTTTGCCACAAAGGCTGTACACGTGAGCAAGCCCTGTAACCCTGTAATGGAGCTCGTAACCAAACAGATTTCATACTTTCAAATTCTCGATGGAGATCTGCTTTCTCAACAATAAGAACATATCCTGGAACGATTTGCGGATAAGATTACAATCTACTGGTAGCGAGATTACGCATAACATTTAAAATAGCAATAAGACTGCAGTATCCTCGTCACATGGAAATCTCCAATAATGTATCGGAGTTTCAACAGACAATAAAAGAAACAATGCCCGCTGTCAGTGATAATATACCACCGCAACAAATATGGGACAAAATAAAATTGTGCGTTTCTAATGCAACTCAAAAACAACAAATGTTAAAAAAGGAGAAACGTAAACACTGAATTTCTGATAAAACCTTAACAAAAATAGAGGATAGAAGACTAATAGCACATAACGGTTTAGAACAGAACATGAGAAAGTAGAATTCCGGAATATAAGTAGAGAAATTGAATGTGCATACATTATTAAGAATAAGAACACTTATTTTACAAACATATGCCAAGAAATAGAATCACATGATCACACATACCAACCTAGAGATCTATTTAATAAAATTACAAAGTATTTAATAAAATACACAGCATCATGTAATGGTCAGAATATACACTACAACTGATTGAAGTTTACAAGAAGAGATCATTATTGTGCATTTTTATTAATCAACAATCCAGTCACTAAAGGAGATGGTGTCAAAGAAGCTTGACAGAACATATCCTGCAACATTGTTAGAGCTACAGATAAAGCGATAGATAAAAGGAAAACTAACTCTGACAGAATAAACCACAAACCACAAACCACAAACCAATGAAGTTAAGAAAATGGCAGCCGAAAAGAGAGCAATATACCTAAAGTATAGAAGTGATAAAACTGACCTAGCTTGAGAGAAATATGTCCTGATGAGAAACAGAGTGAACATCAAAGAATAGATAAAATAAAACGAGAATACTGGGGAAAATTTTCAAGATTCATGGACCAAGACTTTTATGGAGAAGAATATGAAAAATGCTAAAGGGAAGAAAAAAACCTGTAAATAATACATAACTAAAGTTGATTTAAAAGCTTGGGTTGCCGTGACGCGTTGCGACGCTGAAAGATATTCTATTTATGATTTAAGGTACAAGAGAGCGGTGTATCTAAAATATAGAGGGAGAGATTCAAAAAAATAGAAACCTTCTGTGCTTGAATTATGCGAATGGGTATGCAGAGGCTTATGAAATAGCTGATAAGGAGGGTTTATCCGACAAATATTGTTTTACGCGGACGAAAATAAACCAAAATTATAGTGTTAATAGATGAGGTGTCCGACCAAGAGACCAGCTCCGAAAAAGACATTTCTAAAGTCAGGTCGCAACTGAACATTCCGAAACGTCTCAAACGTGGAATATAAAATTTAGTCAAGGTGTTGCGTAAAGTAATCCGCAGTGATATTTCAGATCTCGACTTAATCTTCCAAGTGATATCGGCGGTAACCAAATCTCATCACGCGCGTTTACCAGACATTAAAATATGGCGGTTATCAAATATCAATGTTGTCGACTTGTTTGGAAGACATTAGAGAAAAATGTAAAAGAGAAGTACACTAGACGTCATGAAACAAGGGTTGAAATATTCCCAGATAGTCAAATGTTGGTGTTGAGAATAGCAATCCTTCACATGTGTATTTCTATGCTTGTGTTTTTAATTCTATCTCTTGGAATAGATGGTACCTCTTGTTCGACTTTTTTTGTGTAACGCGCACCTTTCTTACTAACTTACGCGTTGATGTTCCATGCTTGATAATGAATTTAAGAGACTTTGTGTATTATAATAAATAAATATATTGTTGTGCAATTTCGAACCATAACGAACAGTCAATAGTTAGCAATGTTGGCAGATTGACAATAATCTGCCAACATTGCTAACATTTTGTTTGGGTCATTTGAGTTTGCACACGCTATAAATATGTGTAGGATGCCTCTCGACGAGGACTGGGACTAGGCGAGGAACTTGGTGATCTTGAGCTGCTGGAACTGGATCTAGAACGTTGCTTTCGCTGCAGTTGAGTCTTATAATCGTGCAGAGGGCCGCGAATAATTTTCAAAGTGGTTTCTAATTCGTAGGCCCGCTCCTTCAGTGAATTGTATAAGTTGAGATCGAGACCGACTTTCCGCGCTCTTCTATGAAGCACAATGAGGTGACGTCTATTTAACACATCCGGCAACATGTATTCCTATGTGAAGGTAGAGAATAATAGTTAAGTAGCATCGAGATACAATTTTAATAATAATTTTTCATCATTTGTAATATTTTTATGCAAATTTCTTTTATACAAATATATATATATATATATATATATATATTGTATATATATCCAACCTGTCTGGTGACGAGGTAATAAATGAACCACATCATAGTAGTGCCGTAAGTTACGAAATAAGTTACGGGTTCCATTATATCCCACGAGTATTCCCACCAAGTTAATCTAGCTAATGCCCCGAATTGGATAGACATCATAATTAGGAACGTCCAGACGAAGAAATTTGCCCTCTTCGAAGCAGCGTTTTGTATCTCTTGCAATTTCTAAAATAATCAAGAGAAAAATTACGAAATAAAAAAGAAATATAAATTTTATATGAATCATTTAACTGTTTCACCCATTTATATCGTAATTTCTCACAGCGAAGATATTTTAGCTACCTCGTATTTCATGTAGCGAGGAAAAAAGTAGAGCAAATAATATAAGACAATAATGAAATGTGTAAAAACTTGTACTTTTCTTGCTTCATTATATCATAAAAAAAAAAAATAGGCGCGAGAAATACTTTTCAGAAATTCTCTTCTCGTCGCGTTGCATAACTGCAAATATAACGAGCGCGGTGAGCACAAAGCGGGTTTAGAAAAGTATCGCTGCTCGTTCGGTCACGTGTGCGAAGCGCGACGCAGGTGTGCTAATTAGAACGCTCAAGAATATGGCAATTAAGAAGAGTCGTAAAACCATAGCCGCGGGCGCGGTGAAAAAAGAATGAACAATAGAAGTGCCGTCCGCCTTTAAGACGGTTAATTCGTTGGTGCGTGCGCTTCATTTAATTATCATCAAATCAATTAGCAAATCTAATTACTACTTCGCACCGATATTCTTACGCCGCGTATGCCGCAATCTACATATAACTTAATGATTATTATTTTAGCGTTTTTACCTGCTCCAAAGGTACTAGCTGTAATCTAATATCTTCCAGTTCGGCGAGAGCTGATCTCTCCATGTCGACTTGATATTCTCGCACGTTGAACGCCTCGTGTAGTTGATTCACGAGTGCTTGTACGTCTCCAAGTTTCTGTAGATCCTCCTGCAAAGGTGACAGACATATGTCGATATATTTGTGAGACGTGATGGTTCAACAAGAAAATGTGAAGCAAAACTTGACAAGCAAAAACTACAATTGATTGAAATATTAATTGTTCAAAGTTTTAATATAAACATAAAGTCGGTGGAAAAACTCGTCGTTATATGATAACTCACTGTCGTGCACCTTTCTTGTAACGGCGGCGTGACAACATATTCGTTATCGTTTATGATTAATTTGAAATCCTCTTCTAAAAGAGATTCTATCGTGTTACTGGAAGCTATCCTGATGCCATCTGAAAAACGATCAAATTTCTTATCTTGCACTATTATGCGAAAAACTATTTTGACTCGGTTATCTGACTTTAATGCTTCCATCAATTAGCCATTAAGGAAATGAATTAGTTAGCCACGATATCTCACCTAGCGATGTTATGCATGCTCGATCGATGCCACGATCCTCTGTTTTTAACATATCTATAAAATTGCCAACCGTATGCGTTATTGGCTTCATTGTGAACGAGCAATGTTCTCTTCTGGATGGAAGAGGCACCGTGATTCTGGGAAGCCCTCGATGATATGCCACAGTAACTTCCAAACCTGCATCAATATGCATTTATGCATTTATCACGCTTCTATTCTAAAAAAATGTATAAAAAAAATAATTGTATTCATTGCGGCTATAGTCAACTGTATAATTTTCGCAGTAAACCTCGCAAAAATCAAGTGGCGTTATTAATGTTTATAAATATTTTAACAATATCATATTAGTTTTTATTTCTTTTATTATTCACAGATTATCTTCTCGTAGAAAGTAATGCAAATTGTAACAATTTATTTCTTGCTCTTATTTTAAACCTGATTTTTAGTGTTAATGACCATTCCTAATGCATTTTTTAAATCCGCCTGTGCATCGAGTGCACTCGATTGCATGTATCACGTGGATATCACGATCAGTAAAAACATAATACGGTTTGCGCGTGAGAAAATAGCGCGTGCATGCACGCGTACGATCGTATCGCGGATACTTTGTTCTCATTGTTGAAACTTTGGATGAGAAATGTCGAGTTTAAATGTGAAATTCAGTGCAAGCATTCGAGCGATGTTCGTGTTTAATTTTGTTGATACTTTCACTCAATATTGTTAAACTACCATGCAAGCCAGCAATATTTTTGCACATAATCATTTTCGCTTTGCGTCAACAACAATTTTTTTAAAGCGATTTAGACAAATCAATATTTAAATCGATACATTCATCCTCTTCTGATCATTTAATAAAATAAAATGAGATGGGATATTAATTACCATGCTTGCGTATAGCGATTAAAATTATAACGTAGTCAGAACGGAACATAACGTTCCAACGAGGCAACGGAAATATGCCAGCACGCATCAAACATTAGTTACACGCTACATGTTTTATCCACCGTATATTATACACATACATAAAGATATATTCATATGATATAAATACGGAAGAAATGTTTTCATTCATAATGAAACAAATTACCGTCACAACACCATCTTCTGATAAGGCTTGTTTTTCTGAATTAATTTATTTATTGAATATCTAACATATGGCATAACAAATTATATTATAAAATAGAGTTATAAAAACAAAATTTTATTAAATTAAAAGAAAGCTATGAAACAAAGTTCTAAAATCAATATCACCAATCTAGATTATTATCATTTAGATGTAAAGTCACGCAACAAGTTTTACGCTAAGGCTGACTTAATTATTCTTGTATAGACTTTAGCGATTATCTATTGTAAATGTATTTTTATATATTTGGAACAGAGGAAAAATTTGTGGAACCAACAAAATGTACTGTTTCCGCGACTTCACTCGCGTGATAATCGCGCAATCGAGAGCTAGATAATATTAACCTGGTTACGAGCCGTTGATATAAAGAAGGTATTAGAGTGTGGAGAACACACGGAATGAGACGACGACCGGGGATCTTTCCGCTGTAAGCAGAACGGAACCAAGCTAATCCGCCTGCGCTAACGATCTCTGAAAATGCATCTTCAGACGCACACGGGTCATCGCCGCAAGTTTTCCAAGTTTAACGTTAAAATTGTTAAGTTGATAAGAAACTAATCTAAAGAGCCTGCAATAATGAAACATTATGAAAGATGCTGCAGATAAAGTTGAAAAGATGATGAAAGATCAGCAAAAGTATTTTTCTATTTTTTAAATAACATTATTAAGTTAAACATGTTTCTTTTTTAAATCATAATTTCATATATTTTATAAAATCGCTAAAATAATCTTTACACAGGAACGTATTCAGAGAAAAACTAACAAAAATGGCGAGATTTTAGTGAATAAAAAGGGTTATAACAGATACGTAAATTTTTCACATTTCAAATTGTTCGAAATAAGATAAATATAAAAAAATCAATGTATATAGATTGACAGACAAGTATATAGAAGAGCTTATCTATCGATTAAACCATATTTTAAACAAAGAAATGGTCTAGAATTCTAAAATATAAGATTTAAATGCATCACAGATTTCAGATCTACCAAATGATATAAGATTTAAATAAAAATGAATAAAATATACATTTTAATATTCTGGATCATTTATTTGTTTAAGATTTCAATGCATCGTAGTAAAGAAAATGTAAATTCTAAATTGCTAGGTTTCAATTTTTTTAGTATAAGGTTCCAGAGTCTAATAATGAATAAAGTGTACGTTTTATATTCAAAATCATTTCTATGTTAGATAAGAGGCAACAATAGCACAAATTGTAATCGTATAAATTACTTATACATGCGCATAATCGACTAGCAATACCGTTTTGCTTTCGAGGAAATACCGCGAGGTAATCGGTGGTTGTTTGTCATCGAGAGTTTTCGTCCCGAAAGGGAAAGAGAACAAGCTTAGGTAGAATCTTTCGATCATTCAAGATGCAATCGCTCAAGTGGCAATCAACGGTCGCGTCCCGGCACGCTGCGACTCGGATAGAAATTCGATGCCGCGATAATTGCGCGTTTTTTAAACGTACAGGCAACGTCCGATAATTAGTACGGCCCCACGCGTGTCGTGTGCATCGTCGTGTGCATCGCCTGGTAGGCCGGTTGGCACACACAAGTGGAAGTGGCAAGAAATCTACCACCACCCAGCCGCCCGCCTCCCATCTTCCGTTCCATCCGCGGGAACTCCGCGGTGGTGAAGTTTTCTGTGCCATCACAGTCCATCGTAAGATTCTGCTCAATTAATAAGTGAGGTGATCGTGGAACTAAAGCAACGTGGTCATTGTTTTTTCTGTGACGGCACCCAGGGCTTCTTTAGGCTTTCTACGAGCTTGCGAATCGATCTCGTTTATTCTCCGGGGATGTACGACTGACGACCACTAAGGGAGTTCCCGGAGGTAGGTGAACGTGGATAAGATGCCCGAGTTGATTGCTGGGTTTGTGACATTCCTGAAGAATCGTCGTCGTTAGCATTCGTAATCGTAAGAGAACTCCAACGAATCCCTAAGGTTATAAAAAGTGAAGGGTTCGGTACAAGAAAAAGGTGGGACGACGAATTGCAAGATTTATTTCCGATATTATCTCGTAAAGAGAATAGATCTACTTCGTTTTTGTGCTAAACCCTTCCATTTAGATATAGCTCTCGCTCGTGGGTTTTCGCATTATTAAATGAATTTGTAGCTATTTTTGTGAAATTAAGTTCAAATATTTATGCTTCGAATATTTCGGTCATAGTGCACCAAACACATATATGGCGGAAATTAAAAAAAATGCTAAAACCAACTTTAATCTCTGCAAATGTATTTAATCTTGTTATGAACACGTTGCTATGTAAAATTAAGTAGCTTCGTAAATATCAAGATAATGAAAATACAGCCCACTAAATGTTCCATACTCATGGTCTTTTAAATATAAATTAGTATGTCATTTATTTAGCGCAAAATTATTATTAAACATATCAATATGCGCAGTAAAGTTTTTGATTTCATTCAGTTTCATTGATTAAATAGTGGAGCAATATGTTAACAAAATTAATAAGAAAGCCCGCGCTTTTTTCTTTTTTAAAAATTACTATCCAACTTTCAATTCAAATCAAATTGTTAAAAGATTTACGCGCCGGTGGTTACCTAGAAAGTCTCTGAAGTGCTAACACGTGGTGAAATATTTTATCGGAACGGACGAAGAAAGACGATATTCTTGTGTAATTAATAAGCATCGCGCAAATTATATCTACCTCCAAGAAATTCCGTATTTTCTCAAGCGCAGAATTATTTATTTCTTTATTATTATTCGATGAACAAGTTCGTTATTCCTGTACGTGCGGTAAGAAGGTGGGCGACGAATTGGGGCTATTTAATTCGTGCTTGCGTGTAACAGTACTTAGCACGCTGCAGCCTTACTTCCTGCTCGATTTTAGAAATTACGCAGCACTCTACTGCAAATATGATAGTGATCGTAATTAGCAATATTTAAGATTCCTCGATAGTAACAATACTAGCAGCATTGTTTTTCACGGATATAACACGTTAAATTACAAAAAAAAAATACTTTGAATTTCAGATTTGCATATTTTAATACTTTTAATATAAAATTTGATATATAAAATTTCAATTGTTTCTTTTCTCCTAATTTCATATTTAATATTTTATTAGTATTTGATATTTTAGATTTTTAACTATGCAAAATATTTAGACATGTAGATTTAAAGATGTGAAGGTGTGTATTGTGAATTTATTATTTTAATATAAAACAATACGCATCGTGCGAAATGGGGCTCATCAAATAATCAGAAGTTGAATTTTTCGTAACTAGAATACTCACAAGTAGTAGACACGGAGTAGTTTAAGACACCTGAGGCGCATGGATAATGTATGACTTCGATATATTTGATGTTGCAGACGGATATATGTGATCGCTCAATTGGATATTGCACTATTACTATTCTACCTGTGTACACTGCAAATCCATATAAATGGCAGATCAAGGCACTTCGATTTTATATAGTTTCCAAAAAAATGCCACGCAAAAATAAATCGAAGGGTCTTGCCTGATGCATGATTACAGCTTGAACGGAAAAGCATTTATGACGAAGGTCTTTCTTATTCTCGTTTACTTCGTTCTCATGTATCTCTGCATAAATTTCAGTCAGTTACCACGACTAGCGTGCAGCTTTCCCGTAAACAAAATCGATCTAGGAAGCGTAAATGTAAAACAGTGGAAGTTGTGCATTTTGTTTAATTGGCGAAGCAAAAATGCTTTCAACATTGAGTTTCTCCAGAAAGAATATCATAAGTTTTTAATTAACAAAACAAAAAATAATTGTTTACAGATCTTATTATAAAAATTTAATTAATTTAAAGTTTTCACAAAAGTTTAGTTTGCTATTCTTGTATTTAATTAGATGTTATAAAAAAAAAATAATTTTAAAATAACAAAAAACTGTGTGGTAACTGCTGTTCTAAATTCTAAATAATTAGTGCATAATTTTTTACCAAATTATTCAAAAAGACATTTAATGATGTCAAAATCGAATACCATAATAATATATTACACGCTGTAGGAACAATGAATACAGTAAATACGATAATTAAATACCTATCTAAATGCAAAAAATGCCGAGAATGAATAAAATAGGTAAAAGTGTTAAACACGTGCCGAAACTACGAATTAAATTAATGAGATAACTTTTACTTTATCAAAAAAAAATTATGGCTTTTAATTTTATTTATTATTAGGTCTCTACTTTTTACGGTTGAGACCCTTTCCGGAAAAACTTAACGTTGGAACATCTCTCAGTTCGCAATAAACATACTGCACGGCTTTCACTGCTTCATTTTTATCCGCTTCCTGGATCGATTTTGCTTACGAGAAAGATGTACAGTAGTGACATCTAGTAAGGAGTCTTGGTACGAGTGTCGGTTGAATATTGAATATGTAGAGAGATGCAAGAGCGTGGTAGACAAGAGTAGAAAAATAAATATTTTTCTTTCTCTGCTCGAGTTGTAACATAAGCCAGGAAGCTTTTTACTTTATTTCAGTTTGAATTTTGCTTTTTAAAAATGTTCCATTTTACTGTGAGACATATTAAACGTACTGCAGGAATCTCGAATGCATATTTTAAATTCCGTAGCGCCGTGCTCAATCTTTCGGCAAAATTGGATAATCTCTTACGGTAGTTCGTTAAATGCCGAGTTCTAAATATGTTAAAAACGAGGTTGACAATATACTTCCGAACGATGCGTTTCATATTACTGCATACAGGTCGCTATTACGTAGCTAAACAGTGCAGAAAAAGAATCGGGTTACATCATCGCCTTAACGGAGTTTGTTTTGTTTAGAGATTTACAAAACATCATATCGATTGTTTATGTATTAAAAATGCATAAATTATAAATTAATAGATCTCTCTGTTATATCCTGAAAAAATGAAGTCGCGTTTAATGTCGTATCTTAATCGTATCGTAAATTTGTAACGGAGTCCTCACACATATCAGTAAGTGAATCAAGGCGACATTAATCATGTTGTAAGAAACTCACGTACATTTATTCTGCGGTAATTGCGGTTTTGAATCTTTTATAGTGAAAGTTCTTGCTGCAAAGTAACGGTCTTGTTAACATAACTTAATTCTAAATGTATTATAAATGATATTACACTTTTTGCGTGCGATGTTGCGCTATGAAACTTTATAATGACACCGGGAGAACTTAACAATCTACATCCTGAGCCTATTGAATATTTCATTATAAACTTTCACAATATTGGTATGTTAACACTCACTCCAGCAATAATCTTTTTATCGGCTAACTCGAGCGCCGGCCACATGCATTTCGGCTAAAAATAAAATAATCAATTTTAAATGTACTGTATCATTAGTACTGTCAGTGATAATGCAACATCAATGTATTTTTATCGTGCACTTGCTATGTCGTGAGATTTATCGCTTTAAATGGAAAAATATGCATGCCACCGAGAGGTCATGCTTCATCCCGGCTTTCGAATATTTGCAAAATACTTAACTTAAGTGAAATACCAGTTACGTGCCGTGTGCCCGGCACACATCATTTTCGTCATTAAATATGAATTTGTAACAGGTCTCTTCGAGGTCGGCCATGGGCGGTGTGCAAAGTGGAACTCATAATCTTGGCGAGGCGTTATGGGTGCAGGAGCGACAACGGCAGAAGTGCCATCGGTGAGTAGCAAATTTTTTAACACACGTGTGGTGTGTACAATATCATATATGTACGTCGATATATATACTTGGGACAATTTTCGAGAAGGAAATTGTAGATGATTAATTTTTTTTTATTAATTCAGAATTCACGCTAGAATTTCACTGCGTGTTATATTACGAAGTTCAATTAATTACTCGCGACAACCCCAATCTCGCCGATTAATCTTAAAGATATTTTATAGCGTGACGAAAATACTTTAATGATCGGGAAATATATTCTTTGAAATGAGCGACAATTCGCTAATTACTCAAGCGTCGGAAAGTGCCACTAATTACGAAATGATCCTTCTCACGACAGGCTGCTATTATGTCTCCCTTCAATTTTTTTTATTCGATAAAATTTCTTTGATTACCGTAATTATGGTTCGTTTCTGTACTCACGCGGTTGTTTTTAGCAGCAAAAGATAGTTTCCTTTCGAAATATCCTCTGCGATCGCAAAGACCGGAATAAAAACAGGTAACCGGGACAAGGTTGCCACGAATAATTTAAAAGTTTAGGATCTCTCGAGAATTTGGTGATCAATCCCTAACTTCTCGCTTTCAGAATCTCGCCGAATCCTGTTCCATGACGATTACAATTAGTAATAGTTAATAAGTTAATTACTACCGTATTGCCACGGTCAGGCAACGCTGATTAACACGTTGTGGTCTAATTACGCGGCTTGATATAAAGTAGGCGTTCATTTCTAGATGAAGCCGCAGAACACTATCCGCTAATTTCCGTTTTATTATAAGAAGCGAAGAAATAATGTTTTATATTCGCGCATTGGAATTTTGCAATATCACCTAGTTATTCGCGTATTATCCAATTATGCTGCGTAAGCTGCTCTAATTAATCATATTGCAAAATCGTGTAGTAAATGCGCATAGTTCGGAAAATTAAATAGCCTTAATGTTAAATAGCCGATCTTATTTAGCTGAACGCGCAGAATTAATATCTTTGCCGTAAAAAATGTTAATAGGAATCTTGCAAATTTATTTCGTTCTACCAGAACGCTTTTGGCAAATTCCGATTCGGTACATTTTGACGACAAAATCTATTTCGGACCTAAACTCACCGAGTTAGATCCAAGCATCAGTTGTGTTCCCAGATTACCGTTTACGTTACACCTCGAATTAGGTTCCTATTAATTAGAGTTAGCTAAGCTGATTTGTAACATGAATCAGTAGTCGAAACATTGCTGCCTGCAACTACGCTACGTTTCAGAATCGAGTATACTTATGTTACAAACGAGTATGCATAATACCGACTTGTATTAGCAATAAATATAATCTGTATGTGTAATCCTATTATAGAACATCGAATATCTGCACGTAATATTTACATAATTAATTCTGAAAGACGCAAAGGACAATATTCAGCGACATGATATCGAGTAATTATTTGACGGAATCGATGCGGATTAACCAATCCGCGCGATATGGGCTGTCGTTAATTAGCGCGTAACTCGCGTAGCGCTATGCGTTGTAACGTAATCGTAGTAGCGGAACACCGGATATCCGTCTTTGCATCCGAATGTCCCTCTCTCTCTCTCTCTCTATTTCTATCTCCCTTCTCCCATCCTTTCTCTTCATTTCTGTCGTTATACATACGCGTACATGCGTGCGGAATAGAGACAAAGGGCTATGACAAACCGCGTGTGTCTCCTGCACAAACATCGGAAGCCACTCGCGGAGGGCTGACGACGCGGAGTGTCATCAGTGCGAAGTGCCGCAGCGACTGAGACTGCGACGCGCGTCACGATGTACGTCGTCAAGATTGTCTATTGCCAAGTGACGATGGAATTCGTCGACCGTGATTTTGGAACAGCTAGGTACATCACAAATGACTGAAGTGTTCATCCCGAAAAAGCTGTATAACTAGCAGTGGTGCACATTTTTATGTTAATTTAATTATAAGATTTACATAAATTTATTTTGCATTCATTCAATTTTTTATGTAATTTTTATTTTAACATTTTTAACAAATTCTGTTAATGAAGATATGAAACATAAGGGAATCGTATGAAATAAAATTATATTAGAGTAAAATAGAAAGTGAAAAAAAATAAGTGCATAAATTAATATAATTGAACATTCATACAGCTTTTTCTGACGGACTCCTTGGTCTTTAAAGTGCTATATTACATCTATCCATTTTATTAAATTAATGGGGAATATGGATTAATGGATTATTGCGGGAAGTACATGAAAATAGCTTTACAGTTGACGGTTTTGATTCTCTACAGCCGCATTGAGTTATATGTTACATTTCGTAAATTGCCTGTGGTTTAGCTCATCGTGACAAATTAATCATTAGGGACTATCTTTACAGCATGCAATCATTCACGATATTTGATAACAATATTAGGTCACTTTTCGATATCAAAAATATTCATAAACATTTTTCCTCTAATTTGCATATAAAATCGTGTATCTTTCTAACTGTAAGTATATATTTTAAGCGTAATATTCAAATTTAAGCAATTAAGTATATTATTAAGAGTTAATAGATTAACTTCCGCAGAGCACATTAATTTCGCAATGAATATAATCTATCGCATTCTAAAATACACAAATAAATTCAATTACGTCTTTCGGAATCAACTTTGTCATTATTATAAGCCGTAGATCAAGTGAATTAATGAAGATTTATACTGATGACTTGTTTGGTTTTAGTGATTGATTATTGCGAGTCACACAGCGTATTCACGATACAAGCCTGGTTTATTGGAGGAACGAGATTACGCTACAATGTAATTCGTCGTGGTTTCGAAATATATTGCCGGATTACTCTGAGCACCGAATTGGTTTTTCCGACGATTCTTCGTTAGAGATTTTGCTTAGTGAACAACTGCAAGATGTCTCTTTATTCGGTTAACGCGACGTGATCGGATTAGCGTGGCAAAGCGCCAAAATATACACATGATTTCGCGACCATTCGAGGAACAGGTAATCCCGCGTCGGAAACTACGAACGCGCTCTTTTAAGCATGTTACTTCAATCCTTTTTTGCAACGAGACCTACTTTTGTAATTCAGAGCCGCGTGGAAAATCCGAGACTTTTATGAGCGTTTTGCGAGACGAGACAAGCTTGTCGATCGCTATAACAAGGGAATCGAGTCCTCATTAAAAAACGTTATCAGCATATAACGTATATATAGGATTTCCCTTGTGAGAACAAGAACGTGTTCTCTATTGTATAATTTCCTGTCGCTTCGTGGCCTCGTTTCATGACCTTTCCAAGCTAGCGGAGAAAAATCGTGCAACTCGCGCAATAACCAGCCCTATTTTCCGCTTTGTTTAACCAAGCAGCGACGTACTCGCTTTCTTGTCAGATCTCGAAATTTACACATTCCCTTGGAGTCTAGTCCACGTGTGAATTCGCTCTAATGAGACGCTGACGCGCGCGTTTGTCAATACAACTTCGTGTAATTGATACAGCACGAATTCTGTTGTTTGACTTCGACGTAAGCATAATTTACAACAGAAGATCTCGCTTATGTAATAATAAGTTTATTACACGGGCGGTGTTTTTTTTTCACGACGAGCGCGATGTTATGTAAAAGAAGCAACCATCCTTGAAGTGCGGTAGCACTTAAAATCGATGGCCAGATTAGGTAAGAGCGATTTCTCGATCAGATACAATTTCCTGGTCCATCAAGACCTCGTTTTGAAAATTGCTTGTTCATAAATTACTGTAGAAAATGTATAGATTGTACTGAATGAGTCTTCACTTTTCCATAGGCAACGGAAATATTTCTCTGGGAAAAGTATGATTCAGTCATCGGCAATACTCATAACATAGAAAGTGTTATCTAATTGTCTTCAAAAATTCGAAAAACGTCTAAAAGACATTAACATTTTAATTTTATCTTTCTATATAAAAAAATTAATCCCAAACAAATTAAAGAAAGATCATAAATAAAAGATCATAAATAAAGATAGGATTATACATCATAAAACATTATGCTATCTGAAAGTTACTTTCGTTTAATGTCATAATCTATCAAAAGTAAATCGAAAAACGCGAAAGTTTCGTAGGTGTTAATGATTCAGGATTAAGTTATATATCACTCGGCATTATCATTCGCTTTCACGTCGTGTTTCTGACATCAATTTCTCCGCAGTTCTCTCGCGATAAACTGCCGGTTTACCATCCGTGCGGAATCCCTAATGACGTTGCGGATAATTGAGCTTAATTGATTCCATGATGCGTGCTATCGTTCAGTTCGTAATTGATTCTTAAGACGTTCCGCGGAAATTCCGTGAATCAGTCGCGGGTGAAACAGTGAGAACCGGAAGAACAATGGAAAATGGTGAATATCGGTGAAGATCACTTTGTCACGTGAAAGTTTTCTTCTTTGAATATGTCCGTTATATGCTTAACTGCACGTACACTGACAGTAATTATTGACTGCAATAATTAAAACGAGAAAGAATATTGAAAAGTAAAACAATTATCTATAATGATATCGCTTAGAGTGCATTGATTATCAATAATGAACGTAGTTTTGTGCATTTCTGAAGATGGAGATAATTACATATAAATAATTAATTATACATAAAATGTTTTTCTTTCTTAATTTGGTTAATGTTTGATATTAAATATTTGTAATAATTATCAATAATTATACAAATTATAGGAAAATCTATTCCAAATTATTGATATCTTTATAAAATTCAAACAATTAAATAACAAAAAAGAAAACAAAGAATTTATATGGTATAAAACTTAAAAAATTCTACGAAAATATTGAACGAAAGAAATTATTGTGTCTCTTTGCGCGGTGCTGAATCACTGTGACCAGGTGAGTCCACGGCCGAGGGCAGGTGAACTCAGGGGGTCATTCGTATATACCGCACTCAATTGTTCGTATAGTGTACACACTTCGTTTCACATGGGGTCGAATGGTTCCCTCGACAACCTTGTGATTCATCGGTTTCGAACCGAGCAGAGGGGATGTAGCTGCACGGTTG